TTTTCTTTTACTCCCATTTCAGGGTGTGGAGTGTTGGCACTGATGTGCTGCTTGTCGGCTGTAAGGGGGGAGGTAGGGTGAAGACTTACGGGTGTGTATTGAAATAGGGAGACCTCAGACCTCCCAGAACAACGGTGCAACGGCATGGCAATTTGGACATTTTGAGCATGTTTGATCTGGGATTCGGCAGGGGGTTTGGAGGACAAGAGCAACCTGAACTGACAGGATTGTTTAGTCAAACTCCCAAACAGGTGAGTCAATCTTTCTCTACTGCGTGTCTGTGTATGGGGGGGAAAGTGAATGGGTGCAGCTTGTCAGCTTACCCTATGCGATGTTTTGAGCTTAGAAGACATGCATTTCACGTTCAGAAGCGAACTTAACTGCCTCATAGCTTCACACTGTCTCTTGACAATCGCAATGATGGTTATTCCAACTTTGCAGAATTAAGATGCCTTTTCATTAAACTTTTCATTTATGAAGGCGGACATCTTGCCTAGTTGGAAGTCCTGTTTATAACTGGATAGACCTGGTTGGACGTAGCGTACCTTCCTGTAAAGCGAGGGTCCCGTGGATCGATCCCATGGATCCCGTCTCGGGTCGGTACAACGGTACGCCGCTGCGACGTGCTAACGGTACAGTGGAGATAACACGTTCACCGTACCTGAGGTTCGGTACGAGTGGATTCCAAAGGAATTCAGAGTTTAGTGCCCTGTTACAGGTTGAGTTGTTGCGCCATCGAGGTTCCAGTCTGACTCATTTGACCAGTATCGCACTGGGGCAAGAAAGCGGCAAACGAGGAGACAAGTATGAAACAAAGGAGTAACGGGACAGCAGCACTGCAGCTAGGTAGGTGGGACCAGGGGGCCACCTGTTTTGTTTTCAAGACTGGATGTTTGAGCTCAAATTGTACATCTTGAGAAAGAAACTTGCCCGACTCCTTCCAGGTCCTTCCCCACCTGCTGCCCTCACTTGTCAAAAGACAACACAAAACAGAGTTCTGGCGCAGTTCTGCCTCCCAAGAATTGCGAGAAAACCCGTGCGACACTTGTTCAGAATAGGTTTGCTTTTTCAGATGCCATACGGTCTTCTTTTCAAAAAACAAGAGATGGACCTGACAGCTGTCCAGCTATATCCAGCTATATTGGTCTTGACCTGACGAATTAGTGTCCTTCATCCAGCCTATATCCAGCGTATCCAGCCGTCCTTCAGGGCAACATGTTCCAACCAGCTCCAAAGGTAGGGACAGACCCCCCTGGCACTCACCCCCACCGCCGAACCCTTTGCGGAGGTGGGACAGCAGCCCTACTCTAAGGTAGGGCAAGATCGCTTTTTCTGAGGTGGCACCCGCCAATATGGTACCCGGCCTGGTGAAGTGGCGTTTTGGAACGTGCCTGGGCAGACGCGGCTGACCTGTCGTTTCAGATCTGGTCGAACATCTGGCAAAGTGAAGCCTGTAGGATCCATCCCTGGGGCTTCAACTACCTTCTGAGGTTCGGTGGGACAGGGGGCCCGGGTGCCAGGAGGGTCTAACATGGTCTAACCACCTGAAAATGGTTGGAGCCCTAGGGCACAGACCCTTTGAGAAGGTGAGCAGGGAGGCACTGTTATGTAGGTGCCTGGATCCCTAGGGCCCTAGGGAGTTGGGAAGTTGGGAAGCTGATGTGGTTGAGGGTCCGGAAGCCCACATAGAAGTAATGAACCCCATCGGGTTTTGGGGTTCCAGTTCGACGATTCGACGACGGAAACCAACTTGTGTTCATTGCCATAGCCCCTTTCGGAGATGTCTTGATTGGCCGTTGGCCCTAAACCTACTGTGTGATTTAAAATGCTACGTGCAGAAGGGAAATGGAAGGACTTAAACATATACACCGGGGGAAGTGACCTTTGTCACCGGGTCGTGCTTGGTGAGACACATAGAGTAGAAGGAATAATATCTATAAACATATCTAAACTGCGTGCAGACTGTACAATTAGGGAGGTGCTCATGAGTATTGATGCAGCTATTTGTAACAATTCAGGTCGATGAGTTAAACTATCGGAGTGCCCAACAGCGTTGCGCTAGCTAGCCCTTGCAAGGTTGATCATCCTCAACAAGGATACGTCGGGCGCGTCGGATGTGCCCAAGCTGCAGCTGCTCGAGCGGGAGGGCAGCGAAGCAGTTTCGGTGCACCAGCTTTTTCAAAGCGACCTTCTCAGGTTTAAGCAATTTTTTGGGAGGCCTCAAACCAGGATTTCAAGTTCAGTTAGTGTATGTTGAACCGTCTTAAAGTGGCAGTATTTCTGTTGTTGGTATTCAGCATCAACCAGGTGGCTAGGTAATCTTATATATCTATTATGAACCGTCCAACTAAATATGGTGTTCTTTTGTGATCAGATTTGATATTCCACTTCCAAGTGCTGTCCACTGGATCCAGAGCTGGCAACAATAATTGACAATTCCAAAGCTAGGGTCGTTCCAACGTTTCTTCTCCTGAGAACAGGCCTCTCTTCATCATTTGCCCGTATATCAATCCCAGACACTCCATTGTGGTACATTTACCTGCATCGAGATGGTTTGGCATTTGGGGTCCAGTCGCATAGGGTTTGGGAATGTTTGCGAATTCTTTCCAACAAAAGCCTTACATTCTGGTGACGTACTCTGGGGTGCGCCCAACACCATCCAGGGCACTGCCATCCGAGGCGCACATTTTCCTGCAAGGCCAACGACCGTCCGGAAGTGTTGAGAAAGGGATGGTCATGGCGACTGGATTCCGGTGATGGAATATCTCGAGATTCGCCGGGGGAAGTTCCCGTAGAAGGGATCAAATTATGGACAAACACTTAAGGTGCAGAAATGTTTGCCATTGCCCATGGCCTCTAAAGGTGCCTTTGTCCGTGCTTGGGTGTTCTTGTCCCCTGTATGCGCTCTTGTCTTTTTGGGGAATGTTCAATTTGGAAAAGGATCCGCCCACTATACGGCTGAGGCTTGTGATAAGAAATCCACATTTTGTCGATGATAGAGTCTAGAATATTGATCCCAAGTGTTTGAACAAGAAATCTGAGGCCAGGTAGACTCTAACGTTGAGTTCCTTAATAATCTAGGGTTTGTTCAGTTGAGGGCAATCCTCTGAATGAGGGGTCTTAGCTCTATTTCAAAGCTGTTTTCAAACAGTTTCAAACCCTGTATGGAGCCCGTGTTCCATAGCAGAAACGAACAACCAATAGAACGCTGCATGTCGCAGCAGACGCGGGGGGGGTTGGGCAGAAGTTGCAGTTGTTTGCATTTGGGAGATTCTGCCCTTTGTTTCCAAAAACCTTATTGTTGTGTGCTGTTGGCCCTTGAGGCGGCTTAGGCTTAGGCGTTATTGAACCAGGGATGAAGTTGGGATGAAGTTATTGAACCAGGCTCAGGTGTGTCCTCAATGGCCAGCAGCTATTGATTCTGGTAATAATGGTAATATAACTGATTATCCATGTTTCAAAAAAACAAAGACACCACCGCGGAGATTGATAGAACATGGTGTTGTTGGGGAGGAAGAAGGTTTCTATAGAGCTTGAAGATTATATTTAAAAAAAAATGGTTTCACCGGCCATCCCCAAATCTCCCAAATGGTGTTCTCATATCCTAAGTAGGACCCAGAGACACCAAGTAGGGGATGTGATATGCAGGTATCTATACTGACATTGCCCCCTGACACCACCCAATGTATAGAGTGTTGAGGCATGGTGTGTCGCTTTTGTCCCTCTTTCTTCCCTACGACGGTCCGGTTTTGACCATTTCAGGCAGTGCTGGCGAGATCTTGCCGCGGCTGGTGCAGGAAGTGAGAAAGAAGATGGGCCTTCCTCCGTCTGAAGGTGTGACGAACAGTGCAGAGTCGTCCTCCAGAATGTAACCCAGACACAACCGATGTCTGTCATATATGCCGCCCCAGAAAAACCCTGTGAAACAACCATCCCTGGCCTGATCGGTAAATATTCCATTCCAGTCCCATTAATCGTGCCTGGGGAAAGGATTCCACGGCCCCAATGTCATTCTTAAAGCTACCAAGAGCCTATGGCCTATAGCTGTAAAATCTGCCAAAGGTGAGGTTTATATCGTTCCTTTCCCTAACAATCCATGGGACTGGAAAGTGTTGCCCTATATATATTTTGGTGTTTGACTTAAAGATGGTTCAAGATGTTTAAAAGGTCAAATGACTTATAGGGAAAAGATTCCAGTTCCATGGATGGTGTGGATTTGGGATATTTGTACGTTCACGTATCGTCTATTTGCTCGGTCTTCTCCTCTCCCGACCGTCGGAGATGACTCAAGACACTTTGAAAAAAGAACACGCGCCAAGACGATGCGTCGCAAAAAGGACCTTGGATGCCGACCTCGGATGCCGACCTCGGTTTGTATAACATATCTCTTTTCCATGCGTCTTCCAAGACCAGGGAACATCTTCAAATCTATGCCTGGGAGGATCGGACCCGTCGCTATGTGAAAGAAAGCCCTCAGAACATCCGGACCAGGAGGGAAGGTGCACCGGGTCCACAAAAGCAGGTTTTTGGGTGTCAAGCATCCTTCCCTATGGATCCACATACCGAACCTGAGGTACGGTGAGCAGGGAGACTATTTATGTAGGCATTGGAGAGCCCACATACCTTCTGAGGTTCGGTATGTGGATCCATAGGGCTTGAAAGGGGCCGGAAGAGGTGCTGGTTGGACCTTTCGAAACGAAGGAAGCCAAAACGCTGCCGGGTGTAGACCCTCAGGGTGTTGGTACCGAACTCAACATGTAGCAGTTGGTTCGGGTGCGCGAGCCTTTTGTTGGGCTCGAAGGTCCGACCATGGAAGCTCCAAACAACCCTCTGACCCTCAAAACTGTGGGATTTCGGGGGTCGAGACCACCCCAACTTCCTCAATGTTTGGGACATAACCCTCTAAAAACAGGTATTTGATGGTATTTGTACCCATTTTCCAAGGTACCTGACCTGTGAGCTCCAGTTTCTTTTTTTTTTTGTGTGCCCCGTCTCCCGAGGTCTGTTCGGCCGTGGCCTGCGGGGAGGCGATTTATGCGATCGCAGGCCAGTCCCCACAGTGCCCGAAACAGGCAGCACCCGACCTCGATTTCCAGGTCTCCGTTGCTTTGAGAGGCTGACATGTAGACGACCCAAAGTTGCAGGTGGTGACCTGGCAGGTGAAATCGGTTCCTGGTTTTAAAGGATCCACGGCCACCCTCTGGGACATAGACATCTTGGACACTTGGTTTCGAAGGCCGGCGCAGGATCCGTCACCGGGTCCGTCGTGGACGTGGATGGGTCTTCCTTCGGTGTGCCAGGGGTGCGGTCCCTGGATCCACCGACAAAGCAGCGAAGCTGCGAATCCGATCGGTCTGGTGGCCGGTCGAAGACGGTGACCATGCAGGCAATGCATCAATTGGCCAAGAAGAAAGCATCCGAAAACCGTGCGTAGACCCTCCAAAGTACCTTTACAATGTTGTACTGACTCCTCTATAAAACATGTACTGGATGTACGACTGTACCAATTAATTCCGAGCTACGAACGGGTCGACTACGTCCCAAGGCCTGGTGCCCCACCATGGAGTTGGAACGAAGAACCATTCCCCTTCCCCAGACCATCCAGTGCCATCCAGGGTGTATGTTCGACTATGTTCGAAGGCTACCAACTCACCGAGGAGCAGTATATGTTGACCCTCAAGACATCTTAATATCACCCCAATGTAGGCAAATATTCCAATATTATTATTGATTGTTGGAGATTGTTTTGCTCAGGATTTTGGATTCGAAAACCAGGTCAACTCCAAAGGTGGGGGGACGGGGGCATATTTAACACGTAGAATCCGCAATTTCCATCTTTGATTCCTTTGTGGTTGGCGCTTTCTTTTGAAACGCGTTTCAACCGCATCCTCGGTTAAGGTGGTTGAGTTGAGTGGTTTGGGGGGGGTTCTGTCCTACACCTTTTGAGGATGTAGGGCAGGAGCCTGTCCTGTAGGGCTTGTCGGAACCCTTCGGGGGCACGAACCCTGCCAGGGCGCGGTGCGGACGGACCGTTGCGCAGCGTGACTCGGCCAAGCCCAGAACATCCGGAAAGGACAGGAAGAGTTGAGCCCTCCAAAAGCAAGTACACTCCCCCCAAAACCTAACATGCACCCTGAGGCACCCTCAAAGACCGCTTTCCACTATACAAACCAGTGGTTTACAGGGTCCATGTTAGCGTTTGACTGGGGATCGCCGTTTTTATTCCCGTCATGTGGTGATGAATGTACGATCCGTGGTTGCGCCACCATGGGTCGTTGGGGCTTGTGATTTAAAGAGAACGCAAGTGAGTTGAGGGTCCAGATAGAACAGTGAATGATATCTTCTAGAAATACTTGGAAATGTCGATATCACAACATCTTCACAATTGGATATTTGTGAGTTTAGAATTGTTAAATTCTATAGACATCTTTAGAGTCGTGAACCCTACGTTTAGCTAATGTTGATTTTTGTTATTGTAGTGACCATTGTTTGGTGAAAGCTGGTGAACGATTCAAATTTGTGCGGCAAGTGATGTCAAAGAGTTTTACGTTAAAGACCCCTTGGATCAAACATTTTGTGAAAGAACCTGGTGCTGGGCAAAGCTCATGGTTTGGTGTCCTTGCTTTGGAGATTGCTTTCTTTGTTTGCTTTGATTTGTTGCAACAGGTTTATGAAAGCAGTCTGCCGAAGTCTCTATTAATTTTGTGTGTTTGGGTTGCTTCAACTTTGTTTTGCAGAAAGCCTTGTGAAATCCGATTTATGAAATCCGAAAGGTTATTGATGACACTGTTATGTAGGTTTGGAGGGTCCAGTCCAGTCGTACCTTTGGAGAAGTTACGACTGGATCCCTGGGGTTGGAGATTCAGCTCATCGTCCGACTCTAGACCCTAGGATTCCAACCACAACCACCAGTAATTTCAGTCATGGATTGAATCCCGAAAAGCATACCTTTTTTTATACCCAGGAAGATGCAGAAGACGGGCTTTGGAAGATGCAGACGTTTTTTTCAAAGCCCGTTGGCTTTGTTGATGCTATGAACTTGGAGGAACGACTGCAAAGCCACCCATCTGAGGTCTCACTCACTATATATATGATAGTGTTTCCTTTTTTTTCCCCAAACAGTTGTCCCAATTCATAGGGGTTCTCAATTCTTTCTTAAGATGTGTCCGCCCTGCTGGTGTTACTGCTGGTCTCCGGCCTACTGTCCACAGCTGTGGCAATCTCCCTCTGAAAACCTGGAGGCGACCCGTTCGGCCCCGAAGCATGTTGCTTCGGTCCATTTCACCCGTTCGTTGTCAGGGTCAAAAGCCCAGACTCTGAGCCTGTGAACCTCCCTGGGGACTCAGTGGTGGACATTCTGAGCACCCAACACGCCGCCACAGCCGCTGATCTCTGTCAAGGTGGAATGCTACTCTCCAGCACGAGATCAGTGGGTTTCTGCCTTGACCTTAGGCATTTTCGAGGTTCAGATGCGATGGGCAAAAAATGGACTACCTGGAGCCTGGAGTCCACCATACACGACACTCGAGCTCGTACAAGATCATAACACCTATTATGAATCGTGTTGATACCTGTTTTCTGTTTGTGTCATGATGTAATGATGTCATTGTCTAGGGTACGAACTACGAACAAGTCGTTTCTGGTCCAGAGTCTATGGTTGACGGAAGGGTTTTTCCCCGTTATGTTTTCTCAACAATTTTTGACCTCTCCCAATGTGATTTTTTGCCACCATAAGCTGGATTGATTCAGATCCTGCGGTTGGGATCTTGTGTTGGAGCACGGTGGATTCCAAAAGGTGAACCCCACCTGTTCGTAGAGGAAGAAGCTCTTCCTTACGGGGGCCATAGTGCACTTCAAAGAAAAATTCCATCCCTAGGCTTCCAACCACCAAAAACAATAAGGAGTTTTACCGAACTGACTAAGGTCTTTTTACACCAGGGCCAAAGATGACAGCTGAGAGGAGGTTTTTCAAACCTTCGAAGACCATATGACAGATGCAGACACAACATGGCGGCAAATTGCAGAGAACAAACTGAACACAGCCAGAAGGGTTCAGGGTACCGTAAGCTATCAAAAGCTCCTCCAGATCACATGCCTCTTACAAGAATAGCAGACCACACCACATCAGCCCAGCAAAGGGACCTGAGGAACACGACCGGCAGAAGGGCAATTCCAAGCAGAGTTGCTTTCACTCAGAAGTGAGGGACTGCAACTGCAGATGAAAACACCTCAGCACACCGATGAAGCCCTCCAGCTCTGAAGTCCAATCGCCAGCTCTTCGAGCTCCAGATCTGCAGCAAGTCGACGAACTCACACCTAGACCTAGACCACCCTGTGCCCAATTGATGCCAAACTGGACCAGTTGGCACACCAGTTGGTCCAGATATCTGCCAACCACCCTGCAAACTTGACCTGTTGGATCAGTTTTTATGCCAAACCGATAGATAAAGTTCGACCAACAAAAATCGGTGCAGTTGGAAGATCCAAGCAGACCTTGCCAGGTGTCATGACGATGAAATTCACGAGATTGTCAGTGATGACTTCACGAGATTCACTGCTCCTGGAGCGTAAACAGGTGAACCACCTTTAGCTATCGTCGCAGGGAAGACTGCACAGTCATGAGTGTCGACTCTTATATTCATCTCGACCATGGACTCATTCGACGTCATGTTATTGCCACTCAGATGTTCAAGCAATCCTCAATTGATTTGAGCTCGGAGATGGGCACACAGTTCTGGGTATACATCCAGTGTGGATATGGTTGAAACGCACATTGAAAGCTGATCCAGGATGCGAGCGCATGGGTACTTTGGGAGCACGCTCAGATGAGGCTTTCAGGATGTACCAAAACAGACGTCCAGTGCTCCGGGGTATTTGAAGTAGCCCCAGTCCGGAGGGACAAATTGCTGAGCATGCCTGCAGAAGCTGCTTCTGGAAGTGCTGAACATCTGTGTGCTTTTTCGGGTGGATCATGAATCACTGTGGCCAGAACGCTCTGCACCACCACGACGTGCAGCAAAGAGAGCATCATAAGGAGTGCACCAGTTCGTGGCCAAGAAGAAAACCATAAAGAGCAGACCCGACTTCGTTCGTACCTTAGAAAATGGGACATGAGATGACCCTATTGTTTGAATAAAAGCAACACACACTTATCACTTATACTATAACTTGTACCCATGTTCATCAATTTTCCGAGGTACTGACTTTGAGACTGCAGAACTTTGGTTTTGTTTTTTTTTGCAAGCCCTGCTGGCTTGCTGATCTTCTGAGTTCATAACACCTCAAGAGATCTCAAAGCTGGTCTCATGATGTCTCAGGCACCTCCCCTGCAGCACTGCAGCGGCTGGGTTTGTGCCACTTGGACGGCGGCTTGAGCCGGAGGTTGATGCGGCTGGCGCTGAGTTTGCAGAAGGGAAGTAAATTTGCAGAACTTTGGCTTGACTCAACTGAAACCACAGAGACCATGGCTACAGAAGTGTGATTTGAGCTGAATCGTTCTGCTATATAAACCAGTGAGTTCGGCTGGAAGATCCCAAATTGCGTCGATGCCCGGAGCGAACCTGGATTCCCACCGATGTTGGTTTTCCAGATACAACATACAGACTGGAGTCCAAATTACATTCAATATCAAGCACTTGAATTGCGACGAATTTGTCCTAGACCCTATATTAGTGTTCAAACGGTTCATTTCGATCTTGAATAAAACAGATCGAGATCATATCGAGATAGTCTATTAAACGACACGCATCCAGATAAGATCTCATGATATGTCTAACATGACCACAAACATGTTTACCTCAACAATCAATCGTTGCATGTTGACGCTCAACAGCCCAGATGACGCTCGAACCTCAACAGCCCTTTCCCGGTGAAAACGGTCCTCGGTCCGACCCCGGTCTGACCCCGGTCACGTGTGTGGGCTGAAAAAACAGACCTGGCTCTTCCATGCTCTTCCAACATATTGCAAACGGTCTGCCTAACTGGGCTGGAACCTTGACCCTTCCAGTTCGTAGACCTTAGAAGCTGGCACAAGCAGGTAGGAGAGTACTCATCTTCCAAGGTACGAACAGGTCGACTCGAGGTGGGACTCCACCCGACTTCGGCCAGTCACTTAGGCCATGGGCGCTTGGGGCGGTGTGTGCGTCGCTGGTGGCGAGGACGGACCCTGCGCGGGGGGCTGGACATGACTGACCCCGCATCCGTTGGAGACACCGATGTAGGTGGTAGGGTGATATGTTGTCTCCACTGTGATGTAGGTGCTCTTGGTTGGGTCCAGTTGTATCTGACTTCTGAGGTTCGGTACGACCGGATCCCTAGCAAAAAAAATAAAGCCCCCGGCAACGATGTTTTGGAAGAAGGACAATAGACCACAAAAAAAAAGCAGCATTGGTTGGGGATCTCTCCTCATTCAAAGACACACCCACCCAATTTGACTGTCTGGCCCGTGGTGATGATTCTGCCTGAGAATCTGGGCGGACCGGGTCCAAAGCCCCATGGGTTGGGGTCCGGGCCCAGGGGATTCATAAAGGATACCTTCCTCCCTAAGAATCATTGGACCCGACCACTTCTGGAGGGTCCAGGACCCTGCAGAACGCAGGGGTTTGGACCCGAACCAAACCTTCACCGACTTGAGGGTCCTTGATTCTTATAGGGCTGAAAGCAATTCAGGTGATGCATCGGGATCATCCGTTGGTTTTTGGTCCAAAGAACGTCAGAATTGAGGCTCCCCCAGTCCCAAACAATTTACAGGTTTACTCAGAATAGTCCAGCCTGTAAATAGTTCTGGCTGGAAACGTTGGAGCAACATGGAACGACCAGGTTCCTGCTTCTGACCGGGGAAACCATGAGAATCCCGTGCCCGGACCGCCTGGACCTTGAATTCTTCATGCCTTTCCTTCGACTGCCATGGTGATGAGCCGAGCCGAGCTGAGTATGACCGAAGACGGTCAGTGCTGGGGGCCGAACTGTCGGACCTGTTTCTGCCCTTGGTTCGGGCCTGTTTCTTGGTTCGGGTCGTGTCCCGTTTTCTTTTATGTATCTTCCCGCACCCGCACTGTCTAGGTACGTTTCTTTCTTCTCCATGGCGTCCTGCACCGGATTTCATCGTCGGGGTCTCCGGGGAAAGCCGCCGGGGAAAGCTCTCGCGAAGAGGACAGCCTTGAAGGGACCACCACCCGCGCGGTGGAGTTCTTGCAGCCTCAGATGAAGCTCGGTGAATTGTTGTCAGAAGAGTCCACCAGGGCCCCCGAATGAAGGGGTGTCTAAGTATAGATCCTGTAGGCTGAGGGGTATCCATGAACTACCCGACTCAGGGGGGCCCTGGTATATATCCACCTGTTTTTTTCCGGTCAATTCTGGCCAAGAAGCACGTGGCTTTTGGACTGTTGGAAAGTTCCACCATGTTCCACCCGTTTTTTTCTGAATCAAACGGGCCCGACCGAAACACGGACCAAGCAATTCGTCCGTCCGGGTATCGCGGCCTCCGGGTGTGACTAGACGTCCGGCCGGTGTCGCCTTCCGATCGGGACCGGTGTCGAACATGTCCCGAAAACGGGAGGGAGGGAGCAGGCCTGTGAATTCACGGTTTGTGCGTTTGGCTGCGTGAGTTGCACCATGAAATATCTGCGAGGATTCTGGATGGTTTTTGCAGATGCCGGGCATGGAGATGCGACGGATTGTTGTCAGAACCAAGGCTTTTTTTGTGACTGATTCTTGGGATTGGTTGTGAATACCAGTCTTGACCCTGAACCATCTAATGACCACCTGACATTGTGTTCCCATCATGTGCAGGACGGGTGGATTTTTGGACCTTCAGGAGCAAACTGCATTACCTGGTCCACACTGTGTCCAGTTGCATGATACATCTAACATGGTCCCTAGCCTTGCAAGACCATGTAGTCTGAACCCATCTAAACCCCTTAGTAAAAAACAACATGGTTGTTTGGTAAAGGCCCTATTGAATCCATGGTGGACCAGGAAGCCTATAGGGTGGTGGTGAGAGTCTTTTCATGATTAACATTTGTCACGTGGTTACACCCAAAAATCCGCTCGAACAACATGAAGCACGAGGCCATGTCGCAGAACGAACGGAGGGGTCAAATCAGGGTGCCCCTGTCACATCTACAGGAACAGAATATGGCAAGCGCAGATGCCCAGGTTGGGCTTTTCCTTTCCAATTTGCATTGTGGCTGTCAACGTTCACATTGCACAATAATGAAACGTCTCTGTTGTATAATCATTGAATCACCAAAGCTGATGACAAAGCTTCAAATGCCTTAGAGTCCCTTTCGGACTGTTCTTCAGCTGCCTCCTCAAAGTGCTTGGTGTGGGCAATCCATGAGTCCGAGGACACGAAAAATACCATACCTACAGGCTCCAAGTGCAGCAAATTTTCTGCCACCTCGGTATATTACATGGAGTGTTTGGGAATGGCTTTTCCTGTACAAATGTCGGATTTGGATCAATCCGAGGAAGTCCTGGATTCAGCTGCCTCCGCGCCTTGCGATGGATTGACCTTGGGATTGGGCGACTAAAACGAAAACCCACTTCATGGGGAGTTGTCGTTTTCCCGGTTTCCTGGACACTTTCCCCGTTCCTCGGACGGATCGTGGGTCAGATGCTGGCCGGTACTGGTGCACGCCCCTCTCTCCCAGAGGAAACGGTAGGGAGACAATCCCCCTCCGACATAGCAGAGGTGTTGACAGCACATGGTTGGACGGTGCATCGGAGAGGCATCGATGGGCGAAGACGATACCAGCAGTTTGTTCAGGCTGCTTGTAATCCCTATATCAACTATCGGCCTATTGATGTCATCCTTTTACGAGTACCCAGCGAATCCAGCTAAGTATGCCTGACTTGAAGTCGGGTCATGAGTACTTGAAGTCGGGTCTAGGAAGGTACTGAGGCCCCAACAGTCCCACATGTCGCAGTCGTGTCCAGGTGGTATACTTCTCATCTGAAAGTCCGGCAAAATGCCAGGACGCTTCTACTTTCTCAGATCTTTGTGTACATAAATGTAGACTCTTGAGGACCATAACCCCCCCCCAGCCCAAGCTTGAAGAGCTGTCCAATTCAAATGGGAGGGTTTATGGTTATTCACATTGTACTCACCTTTGTTCGACCACAGAAGAGGCCCGCAGAGGCTCGTACGGTCCGCGCCGTCCGTCCGAAGACGTCCTCAGGATGCGCACGGTGCGCTGGGCCGCCGCCGCGTGTTGCCTACCGGACCACGTGGCCTTCGTGGCGGGTGGCTATGGTGAGGAGGCGGCCGCGCGTACAGAAGGGGCCCGGACCCAGTCGATCGCCGAAACGGTGTTGGATCGCTTGAGGGTGTTGACCGTTGAAGCATGCGGTGTCCGGCTTATGTGCCTTGCGAGGAGAGACGATCAAGGAGAAAATGGATGGCCTCGCACCTTGCAGGGCCGCCGCCCTTGCCACAGTCAGATCGTACGAGCTGGGGAACGCGCCATCCCTCTCTTTCGTGCGGGGCTGGGCGAGCCACTTGGTTCGATGAGTCGGCCGCGTTTGTTCCCAGGGCTGAAAGAAGCCTGCAGCTGTCGATGACCCTGATCTAGTTCCAAATGAGCCGGACATGCTGAAGGCTCCTGGCACATGACCGATAGTGTGGTCAATGACAGCACTGTTGAGTATGATTTGCTGCGAACCTTGATGCGACTGACGACAAGAACAACTTACAAAGGCTGTGCAGCACCTGTGGCGTCCAGGTGCATCCAATTGCCATTGAGTCAGCTGATGTCATCCAGTTTGAAGCGATGCTAACAGCGTGGGAGAACAACATACCCTTCGCTGAGGCAGGAGGAGGGCCCGTTGATGGTGAGTTTGACCTGGAGAACATCCTCACAAGCCCCGGTATATCACTACTGACAAAGATAGCTTCAGTCATGCCTATCACCAAAGACTCGCTCACGAAAATGTTCAGTAAACAGGAGTCAACTGTGTCGGGCTCGGCTCCAGTCGCAATTGCCTCGGCCTTGCTGTGCCTGTTTGCGGAGGCTTCAAACCCAATGAACAAAGAGGCTAGCGACAAGAAGCTGATGAATGCCCGTGACGCGTTCCTGGGCGTGACAGCGCTACCCTTGGGTGACAAGCGGGCACACGAGGCCACTGACAACAAGGACCAAGGAGGTTAGGCTGTCGCCTATCCCTTCATATAAGTATGTGACCAACATCAAGAGTCTCAGCAAGAGGTCCAAGCCGCTCAGGTCACTGATCATCGGTGTGGGCCAAAAGTACTCGCTGGTGTCCGACATGCCTGCGTACAGGGAGCTGGGTCAGGTTTTTCTTGAGCGCTTGGCTTGGACGGACATGTCAGTGCCTCTCCTGCCTGATGGCCTTTTTGTTCCCGTATGTGCACGCAAAAAGGCTTGGGATTGAGTTCCCAAACGTCATAGGGGAATTGGACTCCTATGACAGGTTCATGAGCGACACACAGGGATACCGCTGGTCGAAGGGTGAGCTAAGCTCATTCCCGTACGCCAAGTACCTGTCAATGCCTGACTCGAGTCGACCTTGTGCTCGTGGACTTCTACACCGACCCTGGCGCTCGCAGCCAAGCACATTGCGAGGAACTACGGCGTGCAATGGGATCAGCACGCTGGTGATTCGGTGACTCGAACAGTGTCACAATATGAGGAAACGGCAGCAAGGATAGCGGCAACTGTGACCAAGAACCATGCTGAACGGTCCATCAGTGCTGAGGCCGCGCAGGCGTTTCTTGTGCAGACTGACATGACTCAAGAGTTTCAAGCAGAGGGGCGCGCGGAAGGGGAGCGGCATACGCGCCGCCAAACGCTGGGTAGTTCGTTGTCTTGGGCTGCCAAACAACAAAAGCCAGCGTGCGCTGATGGCGCAAAGCGCAGCTGCATGCCGTATCCTGGCTGTCACCTGCATGTTCGGATAGTAAAGGCTGGTAGCACTTGCCATTATGCACCTTCACAGTGAGAGGCTCCTAGCGTAAATGGTTTAAACAAGTTGAGGGGGAGGGCGAGCCCGAGAAGCCCCGTGACCACCTGTCACACAAAATACCACACACAAAGGTAACTATATTGTTGAAGTTGTGTGTTTGTGATTTGTGCGCTCGTGTTTGTGCGTTTGTGGTTGCGTTTGTGTTTGCGATTGAGTGTTGAGTCTTTGTGATTGCGCGTTGTGTTTTTGTGGTTGTGTAATTATTTGTGATTGTGTTTGTGGTTGTGTGTTTGTGTGATTGCGTGTTTGTGGTTACGTCAGTGATTTGTGAGTTTGTGATTGCGTGTTTGTGGTTGCGGGCTTGTGGCTGTGTCTTTGTTGTTGTGTATGCGTGGTTTTGTAATTGTGGTTGTGTTTGCGTTTGTGTGTTTGCAGTCCTGTTTGTGATTGTGTGTGTGTTTGCAGTTGTGTTTGTGATTGTGTGTTTGTGCTTGAGGTTGTAATTTTGTGCTTGTGGTTGCGTCAGTGATTTGTGTGTTTGTGGTTGTGATTGCCGTTGCGGTTGCGGTTGTGGTTGCGGTTGTGTATTTGTGATTGTGTTTGCGGTTGTGTGTGGTCGTGTGTTTATGGTTTGTGTGTTTGTGTTTGTGATTGTTTGTTGTGGTTGCGTCAGTTATTTTTTGTCTATGTGGTTGCGTGTTTGCGATTGTGTGTTTGTGATTGTGTGTTTGCGGTTGCGTGCTTGTGGTTGTGTCTTTGTTGTTGTGTATTTGTGGTTGTGTTTGTGGTCCAGTTTGTGATTGTGTGTGTTTGCGGTTGTGTTTGTGATTGTGTGTTTGTGGTTGTCATGTGGCTTGTGGTTGCGTCAGTGATTTGTGTGTTTGTGGTTGTGTTTGTGATTGTGTGTGTTGTGGTTGCTTGCTTGTGGTTGTGTCTTTGTGGTTGTGACTTTGTGGTTGTGTATTTGTGGTTGTTTGTTTGTGGTTGTGTTTGTGAGTGTGTTTGGGGTTGTGTTAATGATTGTGTCTTTGTGTTTGTGTTTGTGTGTTTGTGCGTGTGTGCCTGTGTGTTTGTGGTTATTTTTTTGTGGTTGTGTTGTGTGTTGAGGTCCGGCGGGGGACACTGCCAAGCGGAACTCGCGGTTGAGGTCCGGCAGGGCATCCTGCACTTGCGGTTGAGGTCCGGCGGGGAACACTGCCATCCGGAGCTGGGGGTTGAGGAGGAGGACGACGAGGAGGGGCAGCTGACATAAAATCTAACAACCCTCACCTGACAGACCTGACAGGTCCACGCGTATACTACTTGGCCTCTGCGTGGAGGCCCAATGATCGGTGGAGCTTCAACCGAGCCCTGCATGGATGATGCAAAAGCTGTGTTTTTTTGTGTTGGTGCTTTGCCCCGTGGCATGTAGACGGCTTTTGCTTGCTGAGTGGAAGTCATGGCCACTCATGCAAAGTTGGCTCTGCTTGTTCATTTTTCAGCGCGTGTGAAAGATTGATTATGGAACTCAAGGCTGCGTGTTTACATGCGAATCGAGTGGATGATTTGATTATCACACTAACGTATGGCCTGCTTACGCCTTCTTAGTCTTAGCGTAAAACGGAAGATGTGATACTTTTGGTATATTGAGCAAAAATAAGGTTGATAGGTTTCCAACTGGATGTTTTTTGGTGCACAGGCAGAAGTTTCTGAATGTCTTAAGGTGAATGCAATTTGTTTAATCGTCTGGAATTATTTATATTTATGAGCCGGTGTGCATGGGGCAGTGTTTGAAGGTTGTAGTGACATATTATGAGATCAAAACAACAACGTATGAACAGTCTGAACAGCTGTTAACCCCGCAGTGTTCCACTAATCAGTCCAACATGTCCTACTCATAAGTCCAAAAGGTTCTAAATAGACTTATATGTCGAAAACAAGTACTTTTTATATGTCCAACATGTAGGACTTAAACAATCAAACCTACATAGTCGCAAGTACAATGCATGCAAATACTTGCAGCACTCACCTAACTCGAATTGTAAGTCGAACATTACTGACTTAGTAAGTCAAACTGTAGGTTGTACAATAATTTGAATGATAACGGATAACCGTTTAACCTTGTAACAATACTATTTTTAAAAACTGTACCTATTGTTGCTTCGGGTCATGTCCCATTCTCAAGGGTACGAACGGTCGGTCGTTGGGCACAATCCTTCTAGATTAGGATTCCTGGCCCGCCATGGATGGAATAGTCTGAATCCGGAACAACCATGGTTTCACTCAGAATTTGCACTACAAAAGCTGGTCATTCCTAAATACGGTCTAACGGAAAGCCTCGGGGCACACGGGCGGCCACTTCCAGAGGCGCTGGCTGACGTGGAATGCCTCGTCTTCGGCGCACCGGCGTGGGGAGCTCCAGGGGGCGCCGGAGTCGAGTCGAGTCTTGGGGTTTGATGGTCTCAGCTGGCTGTGGGTCATGGCGCGGCACCCGGAGCCCCTTGAAAACTCACATAGGTTGACCATGAATGTCTTGTAGTCTATTCAATTCTGTTCATTCTCTCCTTAGGGATGCAAGTACCTTCTCAGGTACGGTGATGTGTTGTCTCCACTATAATAGGTGCCAAAACGTCAGGTCCAGTGGTACCGAACATCCCGGATGGGTTGTGCGAGTCAACTCTGAGTCACCCGTTTTTTTGATTTGGACATATCTCAGCTGGGAATCAGGGGATTCCCGTGCTTCCAACTCTTCCACCTCCAAGGGCTGTCAGCTATACACGACGGACCGTTCGTACCGTTCGAACATGGGAGCACTGGGCTAAGACCAACCCATCAGGTCTTCGCGAAGGCGGACAGACTGTGCTGATCGAAGACCAGCAGATCCGCCCCGCCCATCCCCTAGGGCTCCAGTCGTACCTCCCCAGGTTCGGTATGACTGGACCCTCCTGGCACCCACCCCAGTCCCACCTTTTCGAAACAAAGCTACGACTGGAGCCCTATAGCTCCTGGGCCCTCGAGCATCTCCGAGCATCTCGGAGCGTCCGAGCGTCGGAGCCCGCTCGACCAAAAGAACTCCGTGAAAAGCATCAGGAGTCAGGAGGCACTCTATCCCAGACACTCCATGTATTACCGGACGTATGGTATATTTATACCAATATTGCCATATTATATACATTGGAGTGGTTTGAGGGGTCAATGTAGGCATATATATGACAGACATGTAGTGTTTGGGTATGGGTTGTGAAGCTTGGCAAAGCCACACACCAATCACCATTGCCCGAACCTGACAAAGAACACCACAGGGGCGCTCCCACTCCCTGAACTAATCATGTGAAAACGATTGCTTGCGTTAAGTTCACGACCTGTTTGGTATTTTGATAAACATGGTCCTGCGGGCCATCATCCACGTGGTCAGACCCCAACAATCCATGTAACAGAAGATTCACAAATGTAGGGTTACTCCCGAACAATATAGCTTTAACAACAATCCATCGTTGTTAGTGACATATAGGAGGCAATATATTGATCAAGCTAGTATTCCATATACAATGGATGGTTCGGGTCGCTGGTGGAATCACAGCACCGAGGTGGCGCCCAGTGCCCTCCTTGCTGACGCCACGGGCGGCCCACACCATGGCGGCGCTCCTTGGTACGGATCCGCTGCCACTGGGCCAGGCCTTAGGAGGTACCAAAAAAGCCACCGAACATGGAAGGTCCTGGTTGCCACTTGCCACTGAGGCCTTTCCAGTTTACGACTTATTCTTGCATGATCCTGATACCCTACAGATCCACCGCCACCCTTTGAAAGGGTTTTCGCAGGACTTTCTTTGATGTATAGGTGGTTTTGGAGGGTCCAGTCGTACCGAACCTGGGAAGGCACGCTGTATGCAAATTGACTGGTGACCTTGAATGACACTGTTTTTTGTCATTTCATTCACTCATGGAATGCACAATTCATGGTCAATTCCAATAAAACGACAGGAAGGTGGTCGTCCAGACACCTTCCTCTCCAGTCGTCCGGGTCCGATCTCCATGGGTCGTCGCGTCTTCGGTGCTGGTCTCGCGATCTGGAAGACGGACGTGGCCGAGCCATTGAGATCATATAAGGGTCCATGTCCCAAACACTCCATGGGAGTGCCATATATGCCGCCCCATTGACCCCCAAAACCACCCCAATTGATATGGCATATATGGCATACATGGAGTGCCTGGGTAAGGGTCCATTGTTGGACAATCTTCCAACCCCCATGGATCAGTGGGGTGTTTCCACCCAAGACATTCAACACCTTGCTCCTGCCCCCACATCCGAAAAGAAGGTGGATGGATGGGGTGGGTGCCAGTGGGGGGGTCTGACTCTACCTTCTTTTCAGATGTGGCTGAGGAGCTCACAGGGAAAGATACCAGATCGGGAACCAGATCTGGTCGTAAAGTAGTTTCTCTCGTCATGCTTCAGGTCTTGTTGGGGAACGGCCTCCAAGCTTCGCATCTTCTCTTTATCATTGTTCATCTTTGGGAGTACCGACAGGTCCACCAGATGAACAGAAACTGTTTTCAGGATTTCTTGGCGAAGAGGCCCTAAAGCAAAGAATTTGGCAGGATCCACCAGATTCCTGTGGACAAGTGAGATTTAGGGTGCTCTTAATTTGTCCGTGTTGACTCTTAAGAATCACTTGTCAGTTTCAGACACAGAATGGTCAAACATCTTCACATACGACATACGCGGGAATGTTCATCAATTGTGCACGTTTCTAATGCATTGTTGCTGTTGCTCGTGTTATCTCGTGTTACAAGACTCACGTCGTGTTCATGCACTCACTCACTAGGTGGGGATGTCGTGTTGCCCTGAACACTTGAAAGCACGGTTCAGACATGCAGCTGCATATATATGTTTGGTGCGTCTGATTGGTTCCCCTCCGAGACAAGGATAGCAACTCATGGGGAAGCGGGGTTGAGTATACGGACTACTTGATTGACCCCCAAATCTGGCCAAATCCCTGTTTGGAACCACCTGGTTGCCAGAAAACTGCTGGAGGTCCAGGTTGCGACCAGATTATTTGTCGTCCTCCAAAGCACATGGCACAACTAAATTGCATGGCTACGAAACGATCATGATGTGAATGACGTCAATTCTAGACATGTTGCGGCATGTTTCGGAGAGAGTTTCCTAAGTTTTTCTCAAGTGTAGTTGGCACTTGTCAGTGGCCACATGTTATTGTACTCCTTACCTCTGGTCAAACCCTCAGGCTGGGTGGAAAGCTCTACGTGGCCGGTGGCTACGGACCACAGGCGCTTGTTGCAACGGGCGAAAGCACCGAGGTCCCGGTGTTTTTTCACACCTGGTGTGGGGGAACACCGGGGGGCGGTCAACCCATCTCCATTGTTTTATGATGTGTCCGACGAACAACCATTGTTTCACTAAGGGTTTTAGCCAAAAGCAGACAGCAATATATGTATTATACCAGGACCCTCCAAGGGGTGCCCAATGGAAGCCTATAGGTAGTGTGGGGTAGTCCATTAGACACCCCTTGGAGGGTCCAGGTATGTTTTTCATGGTCAAACGGGTACGGCGAACGGGTACGGTCGAGACTGTCACTCAGCCAGCTGGTGAAAGACCGTACCGGCGCCCGCGTTTCTAGCACCGGAGACGAGACGCACACGCCCTCGAAGCACCAAGAGTAGTACACATTCCATGGGATTACAACCGGTGTTATGCGTTGATTAAGTTTTCATGGTCTTTACCACAGAACCATACCGATCTATATATGGTTTGTTGCTACTAGGTACGGTTGGCATGTTTGATCTGGTATGATGTCAGGCATCATCCAATACACATCCTGGCATCATCTCCCTCAACAACCGCTCCGCTAGCTCAACCCTTCCGTCGTTTCCGCCATGAGAAGACCGTGGACACCGCGTGGGACCCACGACGTTGGGGACCGCCCACCGCTCGGAGGAGCGACCCTTGCGCTCCATCGAGCGCTTCGACCCCTCCATGGGCTTCTGGGAGGCACGTGTTCTCGGATCGCGCAGTGCGTCGGGTCGGGTGGAACATGAATGAAAGGGAGGTGGCGGTGGAAGAGGTGGATGATCCTAGGTCTACCTCCAGACACCCACCTGAAAAAAGGTAGACCATCCAGACACCCACCCCGAGTACCCGCTTTTTTTCGGATGTGGGATAGGCAGGAACTGCGGGGGGATGGAAGTCAGAACGTGTTTGATGGAAGACCCCACTGATCCATGGGGTCCAACATTTGATCCTTAGATCTGAAGAAGCCGCACCCATTTCATCGGCAAAGATTCCAGTCGGAATGTTTGGGATAGAAAGACCTTGGAAATGGGTGCAGACTAACAACCAGACCAGTAACTGACTTGGAAATGGGTGACCGACATGAAGTGTTTGTCCACCTGACGACCTGTGACAAACGTTTGTACCTAAAGAGATCGCAGGCAAATGGAGGGTGAACCAAAACCATGTGATTGAAATGGCGTCGGTGTCTACTTAAGCTCCGATGATGCTGCGCCCGTTTGTTCAAGCAGGACAATGAGATGGATCAGAGAAACTCAAAGGGCCAATGAAACATAAATAAGCACAGACAATCCATGGGATTGCACGAGTGACCTAGATTGGGGTCGATGTTCATGCTGTATGCAACTATTCCATTCATGGAGTGCTTGGGATAGATACACAGATACCGACGATGCATGTAATGAGGTTGTGATCGTTACACCACCGGAAGGTCTTCCCCGAGCCGGGAGCGATTTCAACGCACTGCATCCTTCGGATTCCAACCGCCCACCATTGAAGAAGGAGAGGATTTCAACGTACTTTGCCAAACAAAACCATGGTTTCGACATATAAGGATACTATCGGATACTATGCCACCAGGTCGGTTTTTTTCGATCCCTCCATGACTACTAAGTGCTCGTCGTACAGTTCAAGGTGAAGTTCGTTTCAAGTGCTCCTCCAGAGTCTTGTGCTCCCAAACGATGCAAATATGGCCTACATGACCCGTGGTTTAGGTTTTCTATTTGTTCCACCAAACCGTTCTGAATGGAGCGTCGCCCAGACACGAAAATAGACCTTCCTCATGGGGGGTGTTCCTCGGATATTCGGAGTCCGGAGAGGTCGACTGGACGAGTCCGTACCGAACCGAACCTATAAGCCCTTCGGTATACGACCACGGTTTCCCGGATGGGCGGTTTGGAGGGACCACTCAGGGCGGTACTCCTGTCACTCCCGGTGTTGCGTGGACTGGGTCGTTTGGGCTGCAATGGATCGGTGTGGGACTGGTGCCCGCCGCAAGGACAGGGAGGACGCGCCGCACGCAGGGCGCGTGGCGTCGCGGGCATCGCCCATCCAGATCCGAAGCTCCACGTTGGGGGATAGACCCGAACTCGCAGTGAAGGCCATGTAAGAGAATTCGGACAGACCTGTTTTGCCGTCTCCAGTCGTACTTTTCCCACACGAGTTCTTTTATATTAGTAGAGTCATTTGGTTGGAATCCCGGGTTCCTTCAGAAAGCCTTGTAGGGTTTGGGCATGTTTTTGGGTAGACATGTCCTTAGCGTAAGTGACGGAAGTTCCTCAAATCAGGTCCCCAGATTTTACTCCCAGGCTATGGATAATTAATCAATTGAAGACATTGTGTTGGTTGACTGCAGAAGTGGGTTGGTTTTGGCTTTCCTTCGTGGGCTTGATGTGTTAGGTCTACATGGAGTCTCCGTTCGTACTTCGGAAAGTGAGTACAAGTATAAACATGATATGTACATGTTTTGGGGTTCGGGTCATGTCCCATTTTCCATAGGGGTTCTTCCTGGAAGGTCCAGGAGATCTGTGAGAGACTAGCAAGTGCCTTGGAGGCACTGTTCCCTGTAGCACTGTCAATACCAAATAGCCTGTTGCGTGAATGGCGTCCCTTCACATCCCTTGCCCTAAAATGCCCACCATGGATTGAATGGCATCTTCACTGATCAAAACTTATCGCTAGGGCTCCAACCGTTTCGGTTCGGTTGGGACGACCGGGTGCCCGGGTGCTAGCTTGTCGGGTCCAGGAGCTACCGAACCGGTTTGGAGGTACGCCAGGAGCCCGAACGGGTACATAGTTTGTTTGTTGAACGGCTTTAACAAAGGGGATGTAAGCCCTAGGGTACATCATAAGAGCCCTATAGGGTCTTACATCCCCTTTGTTAAAAGCTCTTCGTTCCCGACCCGGTCTTCCGTCCGGTGTTTCGCGTTTCAACCAGACACCACCGCCGCCCGCGACGGCCGGCCGTGGCTGAAAACATGGCGATCCGGTGGGTGTGCAGCAGTTGTTGGGGTGCAACAAGGTGCAACAAGGTGCTGCATGTTGAAGCAAGAAGTGAAAAGACTTCGGCGAGTTCCTCTCGTGACAAAAGTGATCAAAAGTACCGTGGCGCACTTTCACAATTTCAAGCACACACATATAGAAAAACATCAGTTTCCAGCCATGAATGGTCTTTTACATGTCTTGAGATTTTTTGAACCAAAGAACCATTGAAATTTAACTATGATTTAGACAACACTAGGGCAACCTGCCTTTTGATGGTCGAACGGAAGGCTAGGGATACTATATATGTTTGCTAGCTGCCAGCTCCCGCTCTGTGCCTCCACGGTGCACGCGACGTGGATGGACTGCTGTGGATGGACTGGACATTGGCGCGGCGATGCAGCACGAGGACGAGGAGGAGCGGGGAGTCTCCGCTATAGCTCACGACCACCGAAATTCAGGAAGTGCGTCGGGTCACCAACAGCAACACCTTTTTGGGGGAATGTTAGGTTAACCGTGTTATAACCATGTTTACACCCCCCAAACCCCTCCAAAGCCAAGGTCAAACCCTCCAGTGCGCAGGGTGATTTGGGGCCCCCTGTGAGTCATCCCATGTGCTTCGGTGTGCATCATTGCTTTGAACTTGTTTCGCTTGCGGCTGAACCAACGGCATCGAGGAGAGAGGCTCAGGTACGAGCGGTTTAGCCGAGCGCTGGGAGGGGTCCAGTCGTTGCACCCTGCAATGTTCAGTTGGACGATTCCTATATTTCCAGGAGCTTCCAAGCCCGGTGGTTTGTGGACACCCCGAATCACCCTATAATGATACTATTTATAGACACCGCAGACGGAAGGTCCTGGTAAAGGGGTTTAATTACAATTGAGTGACTCAATTGGTGATCTCATTGACATCCTATGCATTTCCTGATCACGTGTCTTGGATGGTTTTCGTGTTTGCCTTCGCTCGTCACACTCTGTTGCCTTGCTGTCGCCTGGTGTTCCTTTCACGAGTGCTTGGACGGTTGGAACGGTGTTCCGTCGCTTGCCTTCGTAAGAGGTTTGGTAGACCTGGATCTTCCAACCCCATACCATCCATGGGATGCAGTTGCTGTACCTATATATTACATTATATGTGTTTTTAATTGGCTGCAGCTCTTTCATACATGGATGGTCTGGGAACTCTGGGAACTGTGCAGAAGTCTCTTCAGCTATATATCCAGCCAGCATGCAGACATGGTGCATAGTTGAAAGATCCTGGTTTGCTTTTCGGGTGATGTTGGATGTGTCCTATGAGTCAATGAGTGAATCCCCTAACTTGTGTCATTTGTTGTGTTTTTCTTTTTGCGGCTTCCTGAATCCAAAAAGCAGCCAATCATGAAAACTAGCTTCCAAAAAGGGTGCTTCATGGAGATATCGGGGCGAAAGGCCTGCTCCTGCTCCCGATTTCTGCGACTCAATGCGCCACAGGAGGCTGGTGACTGGAGGCCGGTCGCTGTTTTTTGAGAGGTGAAGGTGGGTGAAATCAGTGGGGGGAAGGAGGTCTCCGAGATTGATTTGATTTGGTATACGAGCATGTGGTGGAATCAAGGCAAGCCCGGATATCCATAAGACCGCATAAGACTGGAAGATTGGCCGATCAGGCCAGTGATTTGATGTCTTTTTCGGGATCCCGGCAGTCGGAGAATAGGGACATCTTCCGGTCCCGTGGACTGTTTGGGATATATCCTTTGAGAAGCTGGGACTGGGGTGACTGGAGGGGTCGAACTACCTTCGCCAGCACCCCACCCTGGCGTACTACCACGGAGTTTGTGGTCCGTGCCCCGAAAAAATGGTGCCTGGTCAAAAGCACTATATATAGGCTACGACTCGACCGCTGTTTTACCACGCACACACAAGGCTGTGGGACTGGGACCGTGTCCAAGATAGCATATGGCTATGGCAGGTGCTATAACGTTCCCCTCCGACGGAGACATAGAAACTGCGTCCAACATGCTCTCCCTAGCTGAGGGGTCGGAAGTCAAGAAGGGCAGAAAGACTTTCAACATGCTCATGGAGGGAGGGAGTGTGTCTATGTTCTACTCTGGATTGAAGCTCAGAGTACAGATAAAGTCCAACTCGCTCAACTCCTTCATGTCGATGCACTCAAAGGTCAGCCGTCACGTGCCCATACGTGATGAGTGGCTGGTGGACTTCTTGAACTTCTTCTACAGGAAGCGCTCATTCGCAAAACCCGGATGTACGCTGTGAGAGCAAGTCTAGCCATAGCCTTCGATCACTGCAGCAAATGCTTCGAAGTGGGCCTGTTCCCTATGGCTTCGATAGTGGTGTACGGTGCAACTCCGACAATTGTTTTGAGGGTGGGACATATGAGGTTCACCCACTCCATGGATGGTACCATCAGCGTACCGGGAGGGAGAGATTGCGTTGAGATGAACAAGCTTATCACCAAGATGTACCTCGCTAGATTCAGCTCTCAAGCGCTTCCTGTGTTTTGAGCTTTGACTTGGACGAAGTGATCCTAGCCAGGAGGAGCATTCTATGATGGACGATTCGTCGAGTGATGATGGGGATGAAAGACAGAACTTACCCTCCTTCGACGAAGACAAGAGCACGGAGGATTATATACTACAAAAGCATGATGGATAGGTTGAATTCTTACCAGTGATTATCTTTCGCAAAGCTTGTGGCTTCTTATTTCCAGACCTTCCAGAGACCAAGTGTGATTCTGTTGGGGCACAGACCGTACCGAGATCACTCTTCGGCTGTAGCGTTCCTACCACTCAGAACAAACCACACTACTGGTAAATCTATGCTGGACATAGTGGCGAGGACTACGGGTAACGACCAGAAGTTCCTCAAGGAGTTCTGCAGCTACAAAGGATGGGCAGCCAGAGCTATTCACGGTTGCTTCGCTATCAACCTGATGCCCATTGGCAACCGAGGATAAGACTCTCACCAATCTTGTCAGGCTCTATATATGTCCTCAGCTGCATACGCGATGAGGCGACCGTCGTGTGTTTTGGGAAGACTGCCTTGGACGCCCTGCGTCCCCATGAACTGTCTAGATCTGAGAGGAAGGGAAGGTTGATTACAGCTCCTGTCCCTGTCGAGGGCAAGACGTGATTACTAAGCTCACCTGCGTTGACGGCAATACAGGTATGGTTCGGGCTGGAAACTGCTGACGTACCTTCCCACACCGTGGAGAAGAGTTCGCCTCCTGCTGTCAGTGGAAAAATAACAAAAATAAACAAGGAAAACAACATCAAAACAAATATTAACAAAACATTAAAACCCCTGACTTCATGATACATGATTTCCAAAAAAGATCAAAACAATGGATGGAGTGAAAAAAAAGGCGAACAAAGTAAAACAAAATGGATACAAAAAATGACCTAAAGAAACGTACTCATCCATGTAAAGAGAAAAAGGAAACTAAAGAAAACAACAATAGAAACAACATAATTAGTAGAACTTGTTTTTTCTTTTGTTGCATCTGAGAATTCAATCAAAACCGTTCCAACCTTTTTGTGGGAGCGATGGCAACACTTAGACAGCAGCAACAAAAAACACATTTCAACGTAGTGCACCTGTTGTGGGCCGCCAGAGATAAAGGTTTGCAATTCCAACGTAGTTTTCACGTCCGCTTTTTCACGATCAACGGACGTTGTCGAACGCACTGGCTGAACAGCAGAGCTATAGTCGTTGTTTCATGTTTCAACATACGTGAGTCCTCGGATGGCACCTTTGAATTTAGGTGCTCCCAACATGATTTTCCTTTCAATACCCTGTGAGTGGATTCTTAACTTTTTTGGGGGGGCTCCGGATTTGGGACCCCCTAGTGGCCCTAGTAAACATGAATCAGTGAAAAAGAGATGAACATGGTATAAAAGGGCAACCATGGGCAACCTCTATTTTTCAGGAAACGGTTAGGGAGTGATAGGGAGTGGAACAACTTTTCAATGGGGTAACATACCTGGACCCTCCAAAGTACCCAGGAAAGTGGGACTTGACCTGAACCAAAAAACATTGTCTGAGGTACCAAGCAGTCCGCTCCAGGTCTCGTTCAACTTGTAGTTCTACGGGAAATTAACTATAGTTCGGGACCAATCCTCGAAAACCTCATGCGAGGCCAAATCCCTATAGAAGTCCAAAGACCATATTTGTCATTCTTTTAAATACAGTATAATATATATATATGAAATTTAAGTTGGTAAGTTCCTTCTGGGGACACCCAGCCCGGGTCGCCAGACTCTTCCAACAATTCAACACGGACTGCCACTTTGGGAGGATCTCCCGTCCGGGGCTCACGGCCACACCGCCGCCCACCCGTGCGCAGCCCGAGCGTGCGGCGCTGCACGGCCCATCTCCACGATTTGTCGCTGCTGCGCGGCACGACCTCGGAGGTGCTCTTGAACCGCCGCTGGGTCGCCGTTGGGCCGAGAGGGGTGAGGGTTTTTGTCCGCGTTAAACAAATGGAAGCACCCGAATCACCCCACTTAGCTTTCCAAGACGATATCAACTAATTACTGGTAAAACAAGGATTGACCTGGTTTTGTGCATCCTTGGTAAAATCGATGGGTCGGTAAGAACCCATGTGTTTCCTGATGTTGTTTATAACATCAATAGGGGGCGACCGGGTCTGCGACGGGTCTCCCGAAGATGTTTGGTATCGACGGGTGGGTATGGTTCCTTCGTGTTTGGGATGGCATGAGTGACCCCATGGGGGTTTGGGTGACCCAATATGACCGAATAGGATTGTGAATATGGTTGTTTTCTCAGGAATGCATGGCCACTGGTTTCGTGGGTCTTTTGAATTCAATTACTCCTTCTGGACGCTTTAGCGCTCCAACCGAGTGGTTGGCGGGACCTTGGACAAGGTCTTTTAATTCACCCATGACCCACGATTTTCAATCACCTTCTTTGGCGGTTTTCGGGTGGATTTGCATCTTCCCTGTGGGCGCATCATCTGGGGACTATTGAACTGTTTGTTTTCGCGGAGACCAGATCATCCACCTGTATTTCGAGGCCTCTCAAAACAGCAAAGCATGCATATAGCGACTTACTGTAGCAAAATGTGTTGAAGGTGTGCTCCTAAAGGTCAGCTGGGCCTCTAGACTTAGCGGAGTTCCAAAGCTTGTCGCATCCCTAGGTCGTACCTTCCCAGGTTCGGTGCCACTGGACCCGACAATGGCACCTCCATAACAGTGTCTCCAATAACCTTCTTGTGAGAAGGTAGTTGGATCCCTGGGATATGTTTTCCTGTCCTACTGACCGGTGAGCATCGATATCGGGCACCTCACAACCCACCTACCTGTGACCACCGGGAGCTTTTTGCTCAGGTTTTGGACGGATTCTGAAATCGACCACTGGGGGTGTGGACACTGTGGCAGGCGCGATCTGCCACCAAAGCGAACTGTTCGACTGTACCAATCATGGCCGGGGCAGAATACTAAAAGCCTTCCCAATAGGCAGAGTTGATCTAGACTCTAGACCTGCATGGTTGTCTCAGATTATACAAGATGTTGGAGATGGTCTCTGCTTTTGTGCACAGTTTTTAGGGATCCGTTTTCGTACCTTCACCTAAAACGGTTCGGTACCGACTGGACCGACTCCAAACCTCCAGACGTCTCCAAGCACAAAACACGGTGCACACCACAGCGGGACGTGATACACAGTAGACATTGGCCGCCACAGTGATAGAAAGTGACGAGCTGGGACACCCATTGGCCACATGAACCGACGTTTTTTTTTGTGACGCGCAGGCAGCGGTTTTTCCTTCAAGCTGGGCGCAGCAAGATCGCACCTCCTAGAAAACTTGTATACTAGGCTCCTCAAAAAGTATTTGGAGAAATGATTTCGATGAGTTTCAATAAGGATTTTGGAACCGGAAACAATAGTTAGCTGAACAATAGCAAACAAAATTTTCGAACAAACCTTTTGGAAAAGCAGAAACTGGGCGAAAAGAAATACACCGAGAAAAAGAAGCATGGCGCAACTCCAATCACGCGGAGAGCGCCATCTACCCTACCCAAACGTCAAATTCAGACCACTGCCAAAAATCGCGGTTCTGGATCGTTGACTCATGAGATCTTGAAACATTGCGCCATCTACTTTGCATTCTACTTTGCATTCTACTTTGCATTCTGCCCCTCTAAACAGTATTGAGCCATCTACTCCCTCATGATTTAGCTTTGCAGACGATGGGTGAACGAATACTTAAAATCACGAAACCCGGCAAAAACCACCTGTTTTTCCCAATTCAACCTCAAGATAAACAAATCGAGACGGCGCGATTTCAACAATCGCCTTTGATCGAGTCTACTGGGGCCATTTTTGCTTGGCACCCCTTTTGTGGAGTAGATGGCGCAACTCAAGGAGCGTACAATGCCAAGTAGATGGCGCAACTCAAAAACTCTGTGCCATGCTTCTTTGGGGGGTAGTACAGGGTGTGGAAATGACTTTGCAAAAACGGCTTGTCTTCCATCCCACATTACCAATTAGGATTCAACAATACTTCCATTGAATGATCCAACTTGACAGGGCAAGCGAAGGGTGTGATAAAACTCGTTTGCAGCCTGACATCCGTTCTGTGGGAGGATCTGTCTCCAAGGGCGGACGCAGACAGGGCGGCGCACTGATCCGCTGCAGAGCAAGCTGTGGAAGAGGAAAAGCTTGCGGTCGCATGAAACCGACGTTCTGCTGGCGAACCTCGATGGCGCTGACGTTACAACGTTCCCGGCGCCCGTTCCCCCGTCCAGGCGCCAGCTATATGACATGAAGTTGCCGGATGGAGTCAAAAACCGGTGGCTACCGCATTGAACCAGGTTAGGCTGAAATAGCCATGGCACGACTAGCGGTTGACAACAATGGCGTTTGGGATGAGCCTGGAGAGCATGCCCTTCATCCTGCTGCAGCACTTCGTCACCACAAATTCAACTCGGTGCGAACACCTGTTTGGGAACCTTCTTGCGCACAGAGCAACTGATTCAAGTTGATTTAATTGTTTGTGGCCTTGGACCTTCAGAAACGGGCAGCATGAAGCAATGTTATTGCTGTGGGATGCCACGGCCTCCTTGCCCAGTGGCATGAAGCAATGTTATTGCTGTGAGATGCCACGGCCTCCTTGCCCAGTGGTTTCCTTTGGTATGAGAATGATGCAATGCGGTGCATGATCAACTGTTGCAAATATATCTTCTTGTATGGGGGTGCCTAAACACCGACAGGTGCTGCCATCCTTTGGCTGCCAAAATGGTTCCACTGAGGCTGAAGTGAAACACACCAAGCATTGAGGTTGCATTGGTTTGCTGTTGCCTTTCTTGTGCCCATGGAGAGGTGGCGGCAGGTAGTATACTGGAGATGCAACAAAAACTCCCACCCCACCATATCCCCCACCTCAAGTCTGGAAGATTTGATTTGAATTGATTAGTCGAAGTGGGCTTTGAAAACAGCCCACCCCTGCCCGCCCCATCCCCCCCTTCAACCCATCGATGCGACTCGGACATGATCCATTTCTCGAGTCCCCAAGCGATCCCTCGAGTCTGGGTGGCTGCTTCCAATTTTTTTAGGCAGATGGTTCATGTTTTATGATCTGCCCATGCCCAGGCAAGATTTATCAAGATGTCATGCTCATGTTGTTTATGTGTTTTCACCTTCTAGGATTGAGCTGTATTCAAACAAGGAGCATGGCTACACTTGGCATCATCATCATCATCATCATCATCATCAGATGAATCATGTCCGTATATTCGCTCACATCAACATGTCCATTGGTTTACACCCCCTAGGCCTCCAACTGTCGTTTGACATGGAGTGTGTGGTGGGTTGCAAGGTATTTGGGTCGCTTGGCGACGACAACCGCCCGCACCAGTGGCTCTCAGGGGAGAGGGTAAAAGAAGGGGCCATAATCAATCTGTTTTTGGACCCTTTGACACAATTGCTTAGTTATGCCTTGTTGCAGTTTGCAAACGTTGTGGGATCTATTTTTGTTTGACTCCCTTGATTTTTGACATGTTCAAGGGGGATTGAAACATAGAGTGATTATGTACAAGAAACTGTACAATGTGCATGATCGAGACAAGGCTTAGAGATGAACGCAGCATGAAGTGGATGAAAGAAAGAGGAGTCTCTATGGTCACTGAGTCAAACTATATTTGGACCCACTTACAAACTGCATGAAAATGTTTAGACGTTCATGTTTTTCTTCAACCTTGCAAGCGCTGTTGTATACTTATAGATATAGACTGTCCAAATTACATTAATTTGCTTGCAGTTTGTTCAAAGCATATTATGATATGACTCATGACAATAAACTTTACAAGTGCAATCACTTGATACATATGATTCAATCATGACATTTTTTTAAACCTAGACTGTTGAGAGGAGTCGTTTGTTAGCCTTTAGCGGACCTGGTGATGCAAATGAGAAAATGATGAAACATATTGTCACACATACCATGATATGTGAAAACCATGTGTCTAAACATATGTTTTTCTCTCACTCCGACTCCCACTCCTCCGATGCAGAATACAGGAATATGTATTTTTTTTGCAAACGAAAACAAATGCACTATTGACAGTCTATACACGCCCCTCAGCACCTTCGGTGCGGGCGGATTAAGATTTCTTTATGGACGGGGAAAGGTTTGTGACACATTTGGAAATCATGTTAGGTTTTCTCTCTTTACCATGTACCGGCTTGGTTGAGTACTGTCTTGCTAAGATGAGATGTTGCTGTCAGCCGGGTAGTGAGCTGGGTGGGTCAGGAGATGAACCGGACGACTACAGCAAGAGTGATGCTCGGATGGATCCGTGCATAGGACCGATCCTTTGAAACGCATGTGGATAACCTCGAACCTTTTTGGGGAATGCGTTTGAAACGGGATGAACTTGGCAGAGGGGTTCATCCATCTTCTTTTGAAATCAAGGTTTTGCATGATGATTTTGATAATTCACTGCCCCAAGTCCTCTCCGAAGTTCGATTTGTTCCAGGTTTTTGCTGCAGACTCCATCAAGTGTGCATGGAAGTCTCCAGAAAGAGAGTTTTCAAAGAGAAGTCACCCAGTCACCGGGGGAAGAAGAGAAGTCACCGAGTACACCACCGAGCACGACGTTCTCCGGGCCTTTTTCAACGTTCTCCGGGCCTTCGGCTTCATCCCAACGTTTCTTTGAGGAATTGATCTCTGGAGAACTGGATATCTTTCTTTCTCACAGCTCCTCAGCTCGACCATTACAGTAATCATGCGCGGTCGCGACGTCGACGCGAAGAATAACGCGTGGGGTGGGAAGAGCGGCAGAGCACACCATGCTGCAGAGATTTGGTAAATAGACCATCTTCCCTGAAATCATGGGACCCCGCGGACTGGGCTCGGGTGTCCCTGACTTTTCAGGTGAAGGTAGGGACCGGGGGTGGGTGCCAGCTCCACGTCCTCCACATCCATCCTTCCCTAATCCATGGGACTGGAAGACTTAGCTAGCTCAGTGGACAGGTCGGGGTGCCGGGAACCCGGTTCCGGAGGATAGGGGTCCAGTACATCCATGTCCACTGGATGGGACGGGACTGGAACCGCTAGAACCATTCCCTAGGGCTCCTGGCCCATATCCTCAGGTTCGGTGGTTAGACCCCCCTGGCACCCACCCCAACCATCTTCTCAGGAGGTGGGCCAGGAGCCCTAGGGATTAAACCATGAAGACATCTGAAAAAAATCCCCCCTGACCAATCTTCGACCAATTCCATCCAATTCCCATGGGATGGCGAGGGCTTTTTCTTCCCTCAGAACAGCTGTGGTCGCTGACCTTGATCGCTGAACGACCTCGGACCAGGATCGAACTGCCATGCGCTGCTGCGTTGCTCGCTGAACGAAGTTCTTCGGCCGTCCTCGGCCGAACCAAAAACCTCCCCATCTGGATCCTGACGTACTGAACCACAGAAGGTACTTCGACTCTCCAAAACCACATAACAGTGTTGACACGACTGCATGCGGGATGGGCTGGTTGTCTAAGTACGTACGTCACAGGACCCCTCAGGACAGGATATGACCCTACCAACAGAGTCATGTAGGGTCATGTTCTATATTGCCACATGAGCAATGAAGAACTGAACACTTGCATGAACAACTCAAGTAGCAACGATGATTTCAGTACTGTTTGTTTCCCCGAAGCGACTCCAATTTGTATCTCTTGGTAGTGATGGGGTATGACTACCAGGTGGAGCAAAAGGAGTCATTGGAAGCTCTGACACTGAGTTCGTTTGGCAAGGCAGAGTGGTCCTTGCAGAACGAGAGTTTCTTCGCCAAAGAGAGCTCGACATGTAAGCATTTAGGTAGAAATACGTAACCAGACTATCCCAGACTCAAGCACAACACAACGTCTACCCGAGCCATTGTTGCTATTTCTCAGCCAACTGAGGGTCATAGCCCGCTAGCTAAAGGGCTTACCCAAGATGACATGTCAAATTTGCGTCAACAAACATAGTTATAGTTGTTCAGGTGGCTGCCAGGCATGTATCATTTCAAGCTGAGCTCATGCCCAACCCCGGCACGTATCATGTTCACTTCGGCCGCCCCAAGGGGTGGTGGTCCATCGACCACCCCGAAAGACCTCTTGACCTACGGGGCTATTTTCATACACACACGCCTTCCTTGACCTCTTGTGGTGCTGGGACGACTTGGTGTTCATGTTGGACTCCTGTTGAATTATTTCGACCTTCAATCGCTCTAACCTCATGAGATATGTTCCTGGAAGAGCAGTTAAGCAGAAAGGTACACAAAGAGTCACCAGGCTGGCAAGACTTTCCTGGAAGAGTATCAGTCTTGAGCAGAACACACACAAAAAGAGACAGGCTGGCAAGCTTGTTGGTGGATGAAGTACTTGACTTTGCTCTACTACTTCAACGCGCTCCCGGCCACCTTATCTGTGCCTGGGAGATGATGGTATTTTTCAGGCGACGGATGCGGACGCAGAAAGAAGACCTACCCCCAGTGTCCTCACGGAACATGATGGCACCCGTTTTCAGCACTATCCCTATAGACTATCCCTATAGGGCTCCTGTCCGTGGTTAGACTCAGCTGGCATCCATCTGAAACCACGTTTTCAGGAGGTAGTTGGAGCCCTATAAGGTAAACACCATCTCTGCCCATGGTCTCAGTTGACCAACAGCGAGTTCTATATGTTCTATATTTACAGGGCCTGCACCTTGATGTTTCTGTACAGAAATGCCGTCTTGGTGGGCATGTGACGCAGACATTTCGCGACAAAAACATGACTCCCAAAAGACAACCATAATCAGGGTAGGAGTGTTAAGCAAAAAAGACAACATCATATTTGCTGCTTCCATGGGATCACCTGGCTGGATTAGCTTTGAATATGTTCCAAATCAGACCTCAGACCGCAGGATGGGTGGTATGATGATAACATGTCGAGCACCATGACGGGGACCATGTTGAGCAACAAGATCATCACTCCTTGTTGTTTCCGGACCATGTAGGCATGCATAGGTCATATTTTTGGTCCCCGACCAACGATACTGGATCAGCTTCTGTTTTGGTTGAGCCGAGGTCATTGTCATGGCCATCATTTGGTGCACCCTCCAGGCACATGTCCACTGTCAGGAAGGCCTTTGGTGCCTTAGCTTAGCTCCGCCCCCTGTGTTCAAGTCGGGATCCGGAACGAGGGCAAAAACGGGTCCTCGGTAGCAGTTTGGCATGAAAAAACCGACGCGCCTATATGCTACCCATCGATCCCAGACACCACTCCATGTATGCCATGGGGGACGAGTGGGTCTTTGTTTGGGGGACGAGATCGATCTGTTCGATCACGTCGGGTTCGATGGTGGGCGGAGATCGACCATGAGTTCGATGGACACGGTGTGGTCTAAAAGGTTATAAGTATATCAGCTGGTGCTTGGTTCAAAAAGCGCTGCTTCGATGGTGGGGGAATCCTATAGGGTATATGATATATGTGGTGAACGTGTCACAACAAGTCGTGCTTTTTTGATAACTTTTATGTGACCCAGACGCTCCAAACAGCCCTTCTATAGGGATTGGTTCGACCCCAGACCCCTCCAGAGGATTCGGGTCCGACCCCTCCATATATGAGGCTCCAGGGTCGCGTTTGGGGAAAAAGAAAGTCACATGAAACCACCCTGAAATCCATGGACGACCGGACTCCATCGCCCGACGCCGCTTCGACCGACGCGGCGCGGCGCTTCGACGGGTCGGGCGGACGTCCGAGGGACTGGCGCTGGCGCGGCTTCCTGCCCACGTCGTTGGTCTTCTTCGCCGTCCTGTGGCGTGGACCATAGCGAACGACCGCTCGGTTCCCTTGTTGTTGTTGTTGTTGCTGGCCGGTTGGTGGAAGGTGTGTCAGACCTGGACCCGACTTTCTCACAACGACTAAGACACGGATTTACAGAGCTACGACTGCAACGTCTCAGTCGTTCCGGCGACTTCGCCCGGATCGAGTCAGTGTGCTTTGTGCCAGGTCACCTTAGAGTAGTCTGTCCAGGGCCAACACCCAACCCTCTCTTCCAGAGACCTGTTGGCAGATGGAGTTGAAGGTTTCTCAGCCATCGACGTGGGACTGGTCGAGTGCACGAAAACGGGTCGCATGGACTGGGCAGATACGATCTTTGGGTCCCGGCGAGAAGCCAGCGAGAGTACTGGCCTGAGAAGGCTCCCTTCAAAAGGCGAGCTAGTGGAGCAGAACCATGAGTGAATACCAACAAAAACGTCACAAACCAAGCAAGAACACGCTCACCACATGCTTCAATCGAGTGAAGGAAGGTGCCACTCCATGAGTCTTTCCTTTCAATCCGGAGTTCATCGAAAATACCCAACGTCAGAAGTCTTCTCGCCCCTGTGGGTGCACGGTGCACCAAAAATCCAACCTCCACACCCAACTCCTCAAATCCGAGCGACCTGGGCGAGACCTCCCAGGTTCTCCTGGCATCACTTGCGTGCCAAGTATCGGAGACATCGGGCTGCTTGGTTCTCCCACGTATTTCTTTTCGGCTCAGCGCGGATCCTGCGCGGCACGCGGCGCGGATCGTCGGTTTCGGGCGTTTTGGCAGGTCTTTGCGATAGCGAAGAGGAATCATACCAACCTGGGAGGCTTCTGACCACGATATTGCCGTAGCCATTCCAAGACTCCATGGACCGTTGAAAGAGTTCGGGAACGACCTGGTTCCGGGTTGTGTAACATCCTGAGTAACACGGCTGGTTCTTCAGTCTTCAAACGCCGGTTCTCCAATGGCGTAGCCAAACGAGGCAAACGGGAAGATCCACCTGTGAAACATGAAAACGGTCCAGTTTGGGGGTTGAAATCCGGACTTCGGTATACTTCAGTATACTTCGGTCGTACCCGAACGAACATCGGAGATGAACTCGAAAAATACCAATTGTCCGAGGTACCAAGCAGTCGGCTCCAGGGGAGAAACAAGTGAACTATAGTTTGGACAGTTCACTTGCATGGGATTGGCCAGCAGTCTGGCAGCTTCGCTGTGGTGACGAGTAGGAAGATGTTGTGTTGTTGTAACTAAGTTGGAACTTAGAGTCGACAGGTCCAACCAATGAGTTATTTACTGCAAGTGCAGCTCTTTTGACAGTTGGTAATTCTGAAGTTCATCATGGTTGAGAAGAAAGAAACACATAATATGCACAACATGCCCAGGCTATAAACTAAGCAGTGCATGTCCATGTGGCAAGAACCGCATCCTTTAAAGGACATGTTTGCAGCATGTTGTTCAATGTTTTCATGGCGTACCTAGCCGGAAGTTTTTTTGCTGCATTTCTGTGGGGTGTCCAATTACTGGATCTAAATGATGCAGGCCAGTCTTGACCATGCACCAGGACCTGACTTGGGCTGTATCCCTCTTGAGATTCCCAGATGTTCGGTCACAAAAGGGCCGGAGACATTCAGCGACCTCCGTGCGGAATCCTGGATAGCCGATGCCAGCGTGGCCGAGGTCTTCATTTTTTTGGACAAAGTCTGCATTGATCAAAAGGATTCTCACAGGACAGGGAACGGAATTTTGTGCGGCTCTTGGACTTATATATGAGAAGATAACCCAGACACTCCATGGGACTGCCATATATGACTACATTGACCCCCTTTCAACCACCCCTGGCCTGATCGGCAGTCCCATGGCAGTCCCAGACAGGTCGTGTCTGGGTAATGAGAACATCGATGTCACAAGAGGTCTCAAGTAGTTCCATCGCTCGGGGCACTCGGGGTGCTTAACAGGAAGTCGGAAGGAGGGAGTTTGGTGCCCCCGAAATCACATCCACTCACTGGATGGGTCTAAAAAGCATCACTTTGGAACTCCAATTCAGACATTTCAGCAGTTCACCAAAGATTGCATTAAGTATGATGAAGTCCAGCACCTTCAAAGGGGTCACCTGGCTGGAAGCCCCAGCCCACTACTAAGGGACTTCCAGCCAGGACACCCCTTGAAGGTCCAGGGTGTTTCCCCGACATAAATACGGAACCCTTTCTCAGCCGGTGGAGGATCCGTTCTCTTACGATTCACCAAGTCCCTGTAGGGGACCGGTGATCGGTGCAAGCTGCTTCTAGTTCACTGAGAATCCATACCACTATAGTCACCAGACCCAAACACTCCATGTATGCCATATATGCCACCCCAACTGATCAGCATATATGGCATGCATGGAGTGTTTGGGATATAGACTAACATGTCTCCGTACTCATGTCCAGTCCCAGCAATTCGCTGGGCTTCATGTTGTCAAACAGTGCCTGCGCTCCAATTGAGTACTTTGAAATCGCCGGGTAGGAGTGAACAGTGCAGTCCAGACCATTTTGAGAAAGAGACTATCCACAAGATCAGAAAGACAGTTCAAAGGTCGGACGATGATCTCAGGAATCTAGGAGTGCAGAAGCTGCTGAAAAATCTCATCCTGTTAGACCTGGCCTCGACACGTCTTGGAACTATCTTGGTCCCGTCTGAACCAGATATGAAAGAGGGTAGCATAGATATCATAGATGAGTCTTTTATCAAGCAGTCTGTTGAACATGCCTTTAGTTCGAAGGCGTCCACGATCTACAAGAGAGCATGTGCGTTGTGCAGGTTCACCAGTTGGCAGCGCAATTCTTTCGGACATGCATCCCCGTTTCGACTTGCAGAGGCCTATGAGAATCTTCGGTCGCTAGAGCGGTGCTGGGGCGACGAGTTTGACCGGGTTCAGTGGCTAAATTCACTCGTTGTGATGTTCAGGCCTTCACAGTTTGTGACCTCGGTGCTGTGGGCTCGCCCGAATGCTCCGCTCTGGGCGACCGAGATCGGATAGAAATCTGGCCGAGCTGCTGACCAAGGTCATCGGTAAGATGGGGGTCAGCCCTTTCAGTCAGCTCTTTGTGGACAGTTGGCTGATGTTCCGGCAAGCCGGATGTGGAGGAGGCTCTCCACAATATCACCATCGAGTCTATCGGAACCGCAACCACACCTCCTCGAGGCCTAAACTCCCTGCTTGAGTTAGACTTGAGTATCCTGCAATGCGAGTACAGGGAGGCCATCAACACCATCAATGAGCTCGTTTTGTTGACAGAACATCACTCCGACCTGCAGCAATGTCTGAATCTCCTGAGATCGAGAGGCCTTCTTTGACATAATGGTTCTCGTGCAGGGTCCCATGCCTTGAATCCACGAGCCTTGAAGGCACGAGCCTTGGGGTTTTTCAAAGAACCGCTGCAGCTCTTCCGCCAAAAGTCCATGAATCTGAACCATACTCCATTCTTGTGTCACTCCAATCAGCTTAGATCACACTGGAACGCTTCGAGCCGTTGACTCTTTGACACATCGTATGTCTCTGTGGCTTGTTTCATACATACACAAACTGTTTGGGGTCCACGCTGGCATAAAATGGCAAACAGATGCATAACGGTTTGTGGTGATGAATGTATAGCATATTACGCCACCATGGATCGTTTGGTATACATGCATATATCATATACATGCATATAATCCATATATAGTCTTTGACTTCCAAGATCACAACAGAAGTGGCAAAACCACCCACCGGATTTCAATTTTCGACCACCCATCTCCTCCTCCGACCTTCCAGCAGTTGTTTCCAGTGTTTCCGTTCGTCCGGTGCCCAGAAGGCCACCAAACCAATGGTGCTTGGAATCCTAAACGAGTGAGTGACTCGATAAAAAGGCACAGACTTTCCAGTTGTAGGTGGGTTAACACCATGCTCATTTAGGTTGATGATGGTTGATGACATGGTTCCTAATCTTGGTTGAAGAACAATAAAGAGAGGGGTTGTGTTCATCGATCGGGCTTTCCAGCATGCAGCGTTCTTGGAGGGTTTTTGTTATAGGATTCTTTCCAAACCACACGACTCTCAGTATTCAATGCCCTTCGGCCAGGTCCGCTGGCCCAAGAAGGGTTTTACAAACAACCTTCGACAAGACACCCCTGGCCTCTGCACAAGGCTGAAGGTCGGCGGATTCTGCTGCCTGCCGAACCGGTCATCGTGTTATTCGGTGGTTTTGTTTTTCACCGTGGTTGTTTGCCAGGAAGGCGGAAGGCATTAAGGCGATCGGTGGCATTTTGATCCCTGGCAGTGAACGTGGGTGTTTTGTGGTCGAAGAATCCACAAGACACGACGAAGGATACGAAGCGACGAGGCCGGGCATTGGGAGTCCATGCCAATGCAATGTGGGTATATGGCTATAAAACCGTTGGGGATGTTCTCTAGGAATGCGGTGCCCTCAACCAATTGGGAGGGTTTGGTGTGGTGGAACCGACTATATACCTAGCCCTCCAAGATACCTTTCTAGAATGGGGCATTGCCCCAATAGAACTGTACGACTTGGGGCCCATTTTCCCAGGTACGAACGGGTCTACTCCAGGTACTCCATGTCGGCCGAACGAAGTGCTCAGAAACCGACAAAGAAGTCCTGGATCAGTTCTTGACATGTTGTATAAGTACCTGCCAGCTAGACCTTATAAACACCACCCTAAACCCTAAAAGCTATCTTTTAGCATCCTCTGCATGGAATTGGTATAACCTGCTGGGTTGGACCCATGGAGGCGTGCTCCAATTCCTGATAGGTAGGTCCCTACCTGCCATGGCAGTGGGTCAACCAGCGTCCCCCTGTTTTGACCCACTGCCATGGTAGAAACACTTGGTCACCTGAGTCATCCTGAGTCACATTCGCCCCAGTTCCTCATATAGCAGCCGAGTGAGAAGCTGGAGCCTCTCTCGAATGCAACATCTCAGACCAGCATTTCCAAAGGGGTGCCGAACGAACGGAGGAAGTCAGGGTTCCCATCATCCACTCTCTTAGGGACTAAGCACCATTCCTTTCCTTTGGAATGGCTGGTAGCATCTCTCATTTAACCGAGTGGCCAAAGAACCATATCCTATCCAGTTCTTTTTGGGGGCCCAATCCGGGTCGGAAATATGAGTAATTCCCCCCCTCCAAGGACTTGGACTATGTGGAATTCCCTGAACATACCTGGACCCCTCAATGATTCTCTAATATAATTTATGCCCATAGACCCTGGAAGTCCAAGACCGTTTTAAAAATGGGAACGACCTGGCTTTGTATAGTGTGAAATTCTTAGCGAAACGATGGTGGTTCGGTAGAAAGCATTGAATTTATGTTCTTTTTAAGCGTAAGGTACACACTGACTATATATACCCAGACACTCCATGTATGCCATATATGACTACATTGACCCCCGAAACCATCCCAATGTAGGCATATATGGCATACATGGAGTGTTTGAGATATATGTATGTGGGCAAACCATTGGACACCCATGTATACATGGACCCCCGACAAACATGAAACACATTCGCCACTTGGATCTTCAAAGTGATTACTACGGGCCCGAGAATCCTTACGGGTCGGACCTTCTCCACCCCTCGTGTTGGGGCCCCAACCAAACCCTCTTTGTTCGGGCCGGTGGATGAGCGAATCCGCGGTCCGAGGAACTGTTCTCGCACACTTCTGGTCGCCTGGGATCGAAGCTACTTCTCGCGCTTGTGCCCCGGGCGAAACGAGCTTCGACCGGAGCCGAAGCAGTTGCCGAAGCTTCATCGGATCAAACCGGATCAATTGGGCATCGGCACAGGGTGGTCGGATTCAGGGTGGTCGGTATACTGACTGGGTGGGTGGGTTTCTTCAATGTCGTTTCCTATTCTTCGAGAAGTGGGATCACCTGAATCACCTGAAAAAAGAGAACGGAACCCGTTCAACGTGTATTGTGTGTGTGTGTGTGTTTTTTCCCGCATGATCAGGCTGTGAGTGGGTCCCACTCCACATGAACCGGTGGATGTGTTTGGTTCTTTCTGCTCAACATGGCATGGGAGTGAGGTTTTTGGAGGCTTGTGGTCCGAAGTTGTTTTCCTATAGAAGGTCCAAATCGACTATAGACCCTCCAACTCGATAAAAACTAGGTACGACTGAGTCCACTGAGGCCCCATTTTCCAAGATCCGTGATCCTGGATCACCAACCACTGCCAACCCAAAATTACCCAAAAGACCGCCACCTCTCAACACGGTCCGAGTGTTTTGGGTGGTTGGATGGAAACTACACGGGCCTGGTGTTTGAAGCATCCGACCTGGGTGGTGCTGGCGCTTTCTGAAAACCACCGCCCCCCTCAGGTGGTGCACCTTTGAGTTGGCGGCCTTTTTTCATTCTCAGCCCGAAGGTGGCGTGTTTCTCTGCCCCGCCGCGGGGGTCGGCCAGCGGGGAAGGGACTCTGTCGTCGTCGAGGATCCACCAGGTCGTGGGATGTTCGGAGGTGTCATATGAGATGTGATGAGGTGTCCAGCTGGCCAGCCAGGTCGTTCAACATGACCCCGGTCGACACGAGTCATGGGACTGGCAGTCCGGACGACCGATCAGTTGGGTCAATGTATTAGGTATATACATATACCAGCCTCATCCAATGGGTGTCCCCTTGTAGCCTGTTAGAGCCCTCAACCAGTCGTAACCTGTTAGATTTTCAAGCTTGGGATTGATACACATATATATATATATATATGCCAGTTCCATGAAGTGTCTGGGATTGAAACAGTGAGACGCTCGAACTCATGTGTTGGAGTCGATATGCAGTCGATATGCTCAACCAGATACGCTGCGCAGAGGCGACACTGAATCTGAAGCAACTGCTACATGTTGGTTCGGTCCATTTCACCCTAGTTGTGAGGGTTAAAACCGTAGCAAACTGAGGGTCCAAGGAGATTTTATAAATGTTGTTCCAAACAACCCTTTGTCCCTCAAAACCTAGGGATTGGATGGGATTGGTTTCCCCAGACCCCTCGACTCCACATAAGCTCCGAGCTAGGTTCAACTCAATGTTCCTCCATTTATCCTAGGCTTCCAACCACCATTGATTTAATGTGCATTTTACCGAACAACCATACTACCATGTTTACCCAAGCGCTCAGTGAAAACCCTTTCCCTGTCCCATCCTGTCCCTGGGATTGGACCCTCATCCGGAACCGACAGGTTTCGCCGGACTTGATCACTGCAAAGCCAGGCTTCCATCGAAGAGAGTTCGTCTTTCTCGCACCGAACACAAACCAAAACCGGACCCGCCTCAACGCCGGATGTCGACCAGAGCACTGAGCACGGCAGGGAAGGTGATTTGCCTGCCGATCATCTTGGGACGAGTCACCACAGAAATTGCGCCACCTGGGCGATTGCGCAGTGTGGGTGCGGTGTGCGTGTGAGGGTGTGTGAGGGTGGAATTTGGTGAGCAACTGCACTTTCAAGAGCGTCTATAGCATCCAAGGGGTGTCTAATGATGGTCCATTCTAGGGATGTGGGGCAGGTATTCCATTGGTGATCCATTGGATGCAGGTACAAGTTTCAATCCTTTGGGTGTCCCCCACAGCCACAGGGCCTGATGGAGTGGAGCAAACTGGCGATTTGCTTCTCTGGGCGCCCAATTTCCACATCGCATATGCGCCGAGAAGATGCATCGCCGATGAACTCAAGCAACAAGCCCGAGAGACAAACTACCAGGAGATATCAGAAACATGTAATGTTTGGATCTACAATGGAAACCCATCTCGTTGAAAAGTCTAGACTACTCCAATTGTCATCCTGAAGAGCCACTGTCTATAGGTATAGCAAGTGTTGGTCACTTTCTTGGAATATTACTCTCAAACATATTATAGGTTTTTGAGGGTACATAACCCCTTCTATGGAGGGTTCGACCTTTGCTAAGGAGGGTCCAAGGATTCTTAGGGATCAACCACAAAGAGGTTGACCAAGTTTCCGTGTATGGCAATAAACACAGGCCATGCATGGCCATGCAAATTGTTTGTTTTTTTTGTTCCACTATATATTTCTTGCTTGAGGAAGTTGAGAAACTGGACATGTAATCGACATGTCAAGTTGTCGATGTAGCTGCTTTGAGCTTTAATTCATAGAAACATAGTATATTACCATAGGAAGACGATTCCACAATATTGGTGAAGTTACCAATTCTATCCAATTATACCAGCTGCTTCCTGTCGGGGTCACCTGGCTGGATATCTCCACACTACGTAAACAGGTCTCCTACTCCAGGGCACCCCTGAGTGATATTGCGCCAGTTATGTCTCTTTGTGTCTATTCTTGGACTGCGATCCTCATTGGTCCCTACCAACCTCCAGCTCCGAGGCTGTGCAGCTGGGGCTTGGAACTGGTGCGGGTCTTCGTGGACAAAGCCACCCGGAACCTCTTCGCCTTCTTAGCCCTTCGGAGCGAACGTCCGCAAGAAGAAGCATTTGAAAGGTTCCCTTGGTTCTTCAAAGGGACCGAACCTGATCCCCGAGGTCACAAACAGGCCTGGAAAAGGTAACTTGGGGACTCCAAAAAGGTCACTTTGAAGAAGCTGGGTTACAGTTTTTGAACGAAGAGGCCACTGGGAGGAGCTCAGTCCAGCTGTGGATTTGCAAAGACACCCGATACAAACCAGCATCCGCTGCGCTCGGTCACCCGGCTGGTCTTCTATCTCCAGGCAAGGCGGAAACGCTAGGAATGTGTGTATCCCTTTGGGGAAATAGGGCGGACAGGGGGAACGCATCCTGGAAAAGTCTATGTTGACTTCGGTTCAGAACAACTACTTGTTGTTGGCTTGGTGTGATCGGGTGTTCCAATCATTCCCCTTTCGGGGGAATCGGAGAGATCGCTCTGGCCAAGAAATCAGGAAATCCAGGAAGACAACATGACGCCGGGGATTGCACAGTAATTGGAACCGGTGAATATTGTCAAGTAATATCCAATATCTTACCACACTGATTGCATTTGGTGCGATGTGTTAAGCCATTTCGGGGTCATGCCCGGCAGAGCTTCATGGTACTCCAGGCTCTGGGTGAAATTGACCAGCACAACATGAGCAAGGCATCCGCCGGTGACCATTCCGAGGTCAGCTTGGCGGTGGCCACCCGCTTCCATGACTTCTTGGAAGAGGTCGGCGGATGTCCTCGCAATTATGGTTGATCATCCTAGCCCTAGCTGAATCTGATAGATGTCTTTATGAGCCAAGACTAACAGAACACGAATTCCGCACACATGTTGTATCAGGCTCCCAGCAATCACTTCAAAGGCATCTAGCTGAGCTTAGCTGTGTCTTTCCCAGAGCTACCCACCCTGGCTTGCCCTCTTTGGGGTGTTAGAGATTCACTGCCAAAAGCTGTTGGGTGGAGTTAAACAACGACGGTGCCGGCTCAGCACTCCGCGCTCTTTTAAACCTCAGGGCCCAAAGTAGAAGCAGATTCCGCCAGCACCACCCAGGAGACAGGTGGTTTTGGATGGAAAAGACATACTCAGAACCTTTTGCTGTTCAGTAGGTCTAGCTTCGCCTCAACTATCTCACACCATGTTTTTTCTTCTGCAACAACATCCTTTTCGGATGCATTTTGGTGAATGTCCAGTGGTCAGACGCGACCCTGGACCATCCCTAAGTAGGGGGTGGGACCCTATAGAGCTCTTATAAAGCCGGTGTCCGGAATCTCAAATCATGGAATCTCATCCCTTTGGTTCGTTCGGTGTGCTGATGCAAGACCGTTCGGCCTGTTTGCAGCGTTTGGGTGCTGTTTCATGTGTTGTGTCTCTGGACACATCCTGAAGCATGCGCTGATCTTGGTCAGATCGAGCCAGAGGACCCAGTAGTAAGTCATACCTACAGAACCTATTGCGGGTTTGTTTTAGAATACTTAAAGAGAACCTCCTCCAACCAATTTAGTATGCTATACCCTAACAGTGCAAACTATAGTTTAAATTAGTCATGAGGTGACCTCAAAAGGAACATCGTTTACTTCGATGTTACAAAGTATAGTCTTTGGACCTCTAGGGTATATATACCAGGACCCTCCGACATGTCACCAATTGAGACCTGTTAGGGTCCAACAACCCTCAACTAACAGCCTGGCCAGGAGGGTGCTGGTATAATTGTCATTGCCTATATAATAAATGATCGCCGAGACTCAGACGTTTTGAGCACGTCCTTATTGTGGGATTCCAATGATGTTCGTTTCGAAGAAACAGATCCATGGTGCCAGCCCCTATCTTCAAGCTGCACGTGCCCCAGGCACTCGATCCGATCGCCTTTACCACCAGCAAGACCTTTTTGAGGGGGGGATTGGTTTCCCGACAAAACAAGAACAGATGAGATAGAACAGATGAAAACAGGTTGATCATGAATCATGAACCTTTATTGTTCCAGGGATTTGACGACTCGCGAGTCGGCTTTTCCCTTCAAACGACCACCGGTCGCCAGGTGGATGAGCTAAGCACAGCGCTCAAAGACTTTGAGGCGCGCCGTGCCGAGTGCTTCTGCTGCTGCAATGGGCATCGACATCCCACCACGCACGAGACCTTTGGCGCCAAGCCTTGACGCGGCGGCTCGCGTCCCGTCCCGTCCCGGGGACTCCGGCAAAACCGTCTCGTCTCCGGACCCTGCGTAGCGGAGCGAAAAGGGGTATAGGTATAGACTGGTCGAGTTGTCCCACTAGAGTTAAATAGTACTTTTTTTTGAGATAGGGTTAAGTTATGTGCCATGTTCGTCCATTTTCCAGGTACTTTGGAGGGTCCAGGTACTTGGGTATGCAAAGGATCTCAATTGGAACAACCATTTGGTTCTGGTATGTTCTGGTGGGGACTGGGTTTAGGGCCTGAGGCATGTTGACACCTGGAGAATTAGGTTGTAGCGGGCAATTGGATCATTGCTTTGGGTATACTGCCAACACTGGGTGGTCCGCGCAGATAGTGGACTTGAGGGCAAAAGTCGATGCCTATGTTGGTTGCTGCTTTCAACGTGTTTTTGTTGTTCATTGTAAACCTGTAGCTGGGATGATTATAGATGATTGATCCCGGCCAGTGACTAAATAGTCAGGTAAAGGAATGCTCACACTGAGCATTGCAAACATGGACCTCTGAAACCACTTCGATCGCAAGGTCCGGAGTGTTATGGACCCGATTGCTTCGCACTTTGGAACCTCAGGCGTAGCTGCTTTTTTTCCCCAAACAGTGTGTCCACACTAGGGGTTAAGGACGGGGTTATAGGACGGGGTGTTTGATCGGAGGCGCTTCACCTCGAAATCTTCGAAGTGCATTTCGACTGCGCAGGCTCGCAGAATCTGCTGGGCATACGCATTTTCGAACTTGGTGATCACTTTTCGTGGCATGCGCAAGGGAAAACTGATGCTTTGGTGGTCCTTAAAGTCGACTTTTCGTGACAGGTGCAGGAGGTCGGAGCTATCTTATGTCGATGCGCAGATTTTGTGGCGGCGCAGTGCTTTGGACATGGTGGCGGTGGTGAGTAGTGGTGGTGGTGGGGTGCTTTAATTTTCGTGGTAGGCGCAGTGAGTTTGAATCGTGACTTGGACATGTGGCTCGTTCTCAGAAGTCGGAGGAAGTCTCAAGCGAAAGCTGCGGCTTGGTATTTGGAAGTGGTTTTGCTGCAAGTCGCCTGGGCAGGGCTGCGCCATGTGAATTTTTATGTGCAGATTGTGTGGCAGGCCCAGTAGTTTGTGGACCTGGACCTTGAAATACTGATTTCGTGCAAGGCGCAGTACTTTGTGGACCTTGAAGTGCAGATTTCGTGGCAGGCGCAGTACTTTGTGAACCTCGCAGTGCAGATTTCGGGGCAGGCACAGCACGTTGTGAACCTCGAAGTGCAGGTTTCGTGATGGCACTCACTCAGCTGCGAGTCCAGAGGGGGTTCTGTGAATTGCTGGAGGATGGATGAGTCTGCACTGGAGTGGCACATAGAACTGTTCTGCAACTGGTAGCAGCGGTCCTGGAGCTTCAATCTGAAACCATGCGTGAGGGTGATGTCTTCGCCATCATCAGGTCTGCGAGAATTGAGGAGGGTTCGAAGCTGAAGCCAGAAATCGATGAGATGCTGAAGAAGGCTTCTGCTTCCCTGGAGACCCTTTCCTCCGAAGCTGAGGAAAAAGAGAAAATTTTCGGCACTCATGAAAGCATCATCCCAATGGACGAGTCAGACCCTCTTGTTGAGCAGTTGTTCAACCCCCATTCTTCGAAGAAACTGGCAACTTTGAGGTATGTCGACGAGAGGAAGAAGGCTGGTGCGTACATAAAACCGGTCATTGCTCATGACATGGTTGTGAAGGGTTCTGGCTTCTCAGCATTCGATGGAGGCTTGGCCAACACCAGCCTGAAGGGATTCACATATTCTGTGAATGCTGGGTATACAAAGAACACAGCAGGAACTGCCGCAAATCAATGGGCCACGGATTCTCTGCTAGATGTCTTCAATGTATTGGAGGCCAGGGCCATGTCATTCACAGCCTTCCATGAGCTTCCACCAAACTGCTACAATCACTCAGTGTCAAGAATGCCACGTGTGCCCACAGCAGCCTTTGACCTAGCCAGTGAACACTGGAGTGTGCTTCTGGAAGCAGAAGCTGCCCACAATGCTGGTGCACACATTGGCCCACTGGGTGTGATGCATTGGCGCCACTCCCCTGATGCAAGCCAAGCCAGGCGCCTCCAACTGATCTTGGCAAAAACACTTGGTGACTCCAGGTTGGTGGATCGTGCGCATCAACATGCAAAAGACTTGTTGAGGTCTGCCAAGCAAGGCACTTTTGCAAACACAGCTATTATGGCCAAGTTGTTGACGGCAGAAGTTCTTGAAAACAGTGGCCTCAAGACTGTGAAGCATGCATCAGCAGGAATGGCGCAGGCATCCATGCAGGGACCAAAGGTGGAGGCAGTCACAAAGAGCCTCAACAAACCTGGACAAGCCTGGCCATCTCCCTCTCCAGCCACTTTGTTCCAGAGCGCTGCTGGCGCAGAGTGGTTGCTCCACTTTGGAAGAACAAGGCATCCTTTGACAAAAGTGTAGATGTGAACACAGCCTGGCTGTCAACCCTGGCAAGACCAGGGACCTGCATAGCGCAGGAATCAACTGGCAGCTTGGTGCTTGTGGTTGTTTGTGCTGAGTATTCCTTTCTGGCATGGGATCTTTCTGTGGAGGCCCACTCAGGCCAAAGGGTCTTCCTGTGTAAGACAAAAAGGAATTGTATCATGTGGAGGCACATTGTGAAGCTGGATGAGTGGAAGGTGTTGCCAGTGGAGCCCCTGCTCATTAGCCCGCATCAAGGGCCTGTTGGGTGGCAGAAGTCAGGCCCTTTCTCATTGCCATCTTCACGGGCATGTTCACTCAAGACCTCTGTGAGAACCAACCCAGAGTCGATGTCATCTTCTTTCTTGGGCTTAGCATCCTGATCCCTGTGCTCCTTCATCTCCTCTGCTGTGTCAAGTGCAAGGAGCATGTCAAGCAAGGTGTCCTCCACCTTTTTCCTGCTCAAAACCCCTTTGGGCAGCTGTCCTAGGCCAGCCAAGCACAAAGACACGTCTGCTGGAAGAGCACACTCTTGTGGGTCACTCTTGTAGGAAACTCGTGGAACACTCTTATAGGACACTCTTGTGGGTCACTCTTATGGGACACTCTCTTGTGAGACACTCTTGTAGGACACTCTTGTGGGTCACTCTTACACGACACTCTTGTAGGACACTCAGGACAATGCTGCTCTAGCAGATTGTTATGCTTTCGGCGTCCGCGCTGACTAGCAGCACGGTTGAAATGGGCACCCGCAACCGCGCATCTAGTAAAGGATTGGGTCCCACTGCGCCTCTTGCTCCTGATGGCATTTACCGCAAGCCCAGGGGAAATGATTGTTTTTACCGCACTGACATCTGCTTTGTCACTTCACTACTGATGACGAGGAACATGAGTTCATTCAAAAATGCACCTCCCACCCCCCACCACCACCACCCACCAGCACCAGCACCAGCACTAGCGCCAGCCACCAGCCCCGCGCCCAACTTGGCCAAGGATTTTGGCCTGCGACCGGCAGCTGGTGGAGGGTTCAATTGCGCATTGGCTCCTGGGCTCGAAGATGAGGGCTCGAAGATGCGAAGGATTCCGAATGATGCGGGAGAGTCTGACTTCCATGACGTCTTCCAATTGTTGGGGTGATGGTATAAAGTTTAAGATGATCCCTTAGCCTTCCATGACCGTTGAGGGGTTGACCTGTTTTTGTGGCAGAAAACACGGATCATGTCCAATGTTTTGGAAAAATCGAGTTTTGGAAGTGCTGGACTGGAACCTGGAAGTCGGTAAACATGTTTGTAATAGCCCAGCGTTCCTCTGGGCGAGGAGGCAGCACCGCGTGATGGCAAGTTGTAAATTATAGGTTTTCTCAGTACCTTCTGAGAAGGTGGCAGTGGATCCCTAGGGATTGTTACAATGTTTGTTGGAGTCCTGGGATGTGGAAAGTACGATGTGAAACACTTCGCAAGAGAGAGGTGCCCAGTAAGCGAAGCAACGAGAATGGAAGTGGAACAGGCCCAATGGAAACAAAATCGGGTTTCTATAGGCATCGGCCTCTGACCTCCAAGCCTACATCAAGGGATTGTTGGAGGGGCCGACTCATGGTTGGGATCTTTTTTTTGACCCAACTGCGCAAGTTTTGGAAGGTCGTTGAAAGATTTCAACATCTCAAACGGTTGGACATATCACCCAAGGGATCCAAGTACCTTTTCAGGTAGGGTGATTGGAGACATTGTTATGTATAGGTTTGGAGGGTCCATGTACCTTTTGAGAAGGACTTAGATCCCTAGGGTCAGTCGTAGATCTCAGACATCGAACCATCAGATCCAATACACGTTTTGGACGTCGATGGCCAATGAACATTGGTTGGACCTTGGATATGACATGTGTTTTTGATAGGATGTTTGTGTAGTTTGACCATCGTTTGTGTGGTTGGTTGTTACGGGGAATTGCCAGTGTGATCCATTCACGCAACATGGAATGGTATGGCTGTGGGTCATGGCACCGTGGAACACGGAAGACCATGAGCAGAATGGACGAACGACTCTCAGGTCAACGGGCTCCGGGGTTTGAAACCACAGCGGCAAGATCAATTCTGTGATCCTTTAGCTTGTCTCACTCCTTCACCTTCACCTTCACCTCACATCACAACAGCGCGCCCCGACCAGGTACGGCCGCGGCAACGTGGAGGAAGGTCTCCGACGCTTCGACGCCGCGCAGCTGCGAGAGAGGTGGGTTGGAACAAACGAAAAGCCGGGCAGTTTGACGAGAGTCACCCAAACAACCCATGGGACTGGCATATTTTACCTCTACCCTATAGGATGAAGTGAGCCCAAGCACGGTTTGAATGGTCGGACATCCCAAAGAACCTTACTATCTAACTGTTTTACGAATGTTTACGATATTTTACAGGTTTTCCACAACTACGCCAGGTACAGTCTGCCCCATTCCTTTTATAGTGGTCGAACTGAAGCCTAGCTAGGGGACCAAACCTCGGAAGGGACATGTGATGAAGTGTTTGGAGCCAGCTGGAGCCAGCCTCAACAATCCTTTCCCTTCGTTTCGAAGGTGGGACTGGGGTGGGTTTAGAGGGTCCAAATACCTTCTGAGGAGGTACGACTGGAGCCCTAGGGTTTGGAATCATTTAGCCTTTAGATGCAGTTCGGCATCAATTCTGCACAGTTGGAGGTTTTCCAGGTTGTCCAGGCCCATGGAGTGTTTGGGAAGTCTCATACGACTAGGACTTCACCCTGAAAGATTAACATGATATTAACATGGAACCTGACAATGGACCTTTGGAAGACTATTTTTCTTTACGACCCAGTGGTTTTAAGGTTCCAAGTTAATCTTCCAGGGCACGGGCATATAGTACACTCCGACGAACACATCACATGGAAATTGAAAACCTCCTGTTCGCAAAGGCCATGCCATCCATTTCCATGTTGGTGAGTCAGAGGGTAACCAGCAGCCAAAAATTGCCCTCAAGGACTCATGTAAGTCTACCAGTTTGCCTTAAATACCTTAAGAGGAGGCTCTAGGAGCCAACCTTCCTCTTTCGCAGCCGGATTGATTTGGATCTCCAAGCGCTCTCCAAGCGCCAAGCACATTGTCACCACCTTCCCAGTCAAGGCATGAACTGATCAAGTCAAGGCCACACCATGATGAGTCCCCCATGTCCACCATCTCCGGCGCTCTTGCTTCGGGTCCGTCTTTCCGGTGCCTTCGATGGGCCAATTCGTCCCACTCAACGAGCCAGAAGAAGTGGACCTTTCGCGAAACGTGTTTTCGGTTTTGTCACACCCAGACACGACTCATGGGACTGCCATATATATGCCATATCAATTGGGGTGCTTTTGGGGGTCAATGTAGTCATATATGGCAGTCCCATGGAGTGTCTGGACATGTGATCATCCCCGGCGAACCGTGGCGGTCGTCCCTTTGGGTTCAAAAGAAGCCGCACAAACGACGAGGGACCGATGGCCCGAGGCCTTGATTCGTGGACCCTTCCGCGAGCGGATTCGCGAAGTGGTTCGGGGAGCCGCTCGGGCGAACGCGGTGAACGCGGTGAGTGCTGTTTGGTGGGTGACGCGGTGAAAAGGAGAAGACATGATGTTGAATCGACTGGTGTAGAGAAGACTGGAAATGTGTAATTCAGCTATAAAGTGGCCTATAATCTATAACTACCTCCTGTCGAGTGGAGAAAAGACATGTTGTGTCAGGTCTGTGTCATCGCTGGTTTGAAGACCCTGGTGTTGTTGGAAGAAGCCCACCGCAGCTCAGCCACGACGCACTTCTCAATAATCCTCTTCATCCCTTTGTTCAAGTCTCTTTCACAAATCCACTCACTTCCTAACAAGGTCTGGGAAAAGGCGGGATTAGATTTCATTTGTCCGTCTGCCTGAGCTGTTAGCCTGGTGGGTTTTAAAAAAGTGGGACCTTGCGCCTCTTGAAAGGTCTGTTCTCTTGCACCTCCATGACGGTCTCCGACCTCCAATTGTGGACAAACAGAGGCGGTCTGAGACCGGTCCCAACGACGGACCCGACGGAGCGTTCTTACCCGAACGGGAGACGGGACATGACCCTATAGAGAAACAAGTAGACCCTATAGGGCTCCTGTCCCATATCCTCAGGTTCGGTGGTTAGACCCCCCTGGCACCCATCCCTGTCCCATCTTCGAAACGGAGGTGGGCCAGGAGCCCAAACGGGAGAAGGACCAGCCAACATGTAACAATGTAGCAGTTGCGTCCATGGGTCGCCTCTAGGTGGGGAGACTGGACAGAGACTGTCTCAGAACGTTCTACCCAGTTCAACTCAGACTTTGTAGAACCTCCGGGTAGATTGAGTTGCAAGGCGGCTGATGTTCGTTGCAAACACGAGACTATACCAAACTTCATCACCCGAAAGGAAGAAAGACCTCTGCAATGAGATAGATCTTCCTACGACGTAAGCGTTGAACCTCAACCGAAGTTTAGTGTTATACTAACCGCATATATGGTCCATGCCCTGCTTGGCCTTTAGAACCAACGATGAACCAACACATTTCACCTGACAGATCCGGCGACCAGAGACCGGAGACCTGATTTTCACCCTAGGGCTGGTAGCTTGACCATGTCTACCATCCTTCACCAGGTCTTCGAATACAGAGGGGTGCTGGGCCTAGATACAGATCTCAATTGGTGACCTGGCAGGTCTCGGATGCTGGTAGTAAGTGGTATACTAAGTATAGTACATGTTTTCCGTGCCACGGCCGCCTGTGAGGCTCGGATGCCCTACCATTTGATCTTGCTGGCATCCGTTTGGCCAGCCATGCACCAGTTGGACCACATCGTGGAGGACGGCGAGAGTTCCCGCCTCCTCTCAGGTCATAGCCGAAAACACTGGTTGTTTCTTGACTGAAGGGCAGTACCTGAAGGAAAATGGGCCCTATAGGCCCTTTTTTGTGGACCCTAGAATCCTTGATCACTTGAATACCGAGGCAGTCCCAGACGGGTCGCCTCTGGGTTTGGTCATGTCCCTTTCGTTCATCCGACCGGATCCGCTTCCGTTTCTCGGCGCGCTCTGCGTGGTGGTCCCGCGACGGGAAGCGACGTTGACGCATTGAGACGAGTTGGATCGGATGATCGCACCACCAATGGAACTACCCAGACACGACTCACGGGACTGCCATATATATGCCATATCAATTGGGGTGGTTGACTGGGGGTCAATGTATGGCAGTCCCATGGAGTGTCTGGGATATTTTGGCCCAAAACAATGCTACATGACTGGTGCTTTTGAATGGTGGATGTAGGCCAAAGCTCCACCGCGCTTGCAGTACATGTTTGGCACTGAAGTGCTTTGGACATTCCTAGACTTTTAGGATTTACACTCCCAGGGTTGTGAGTTGTGTCATTGTTTGACATTGTTGTGTATATTCTTCAAATGCGAGCCAGCGATTGAACAATCCCAACCTGGAGCATCAACACATTATACAGTTTGCACCTACAAGATTCAACAAAAAACGAAAAACGATGTTTGCCTAAACAAATGTAATCATGTATTTTATACCAGTTGCTTGGAAGCGCTAGGTACTGACCCCAGGAATCCAGTCGTGCCTCAGGTTCAGTACGACTGGACCCGACGTTTTGGCACCTACATAGTCTGCCTGCTCACCATACCTGAGGTTCGGTTGGACTGGATGCCGGTACTGCGTTGGTTGATGAGACATGTTGGCTTAACCATGCTAAATACGTCCAGTTCGATTAGTGACGATGTTTGGTACCACCGAGAAGTGTTCAGGCTTGACTGGGGCGCCGCAGGGCATACGCCCCTCCGCGGCCAGGAGTGTGCCGCTCCATGGCCACGGGGTCTCCGTTGTGCCCGGGGCTTCGCCAAACGGAGGGGGTTGCGACGGCCTTTTGCGCTCTTTGGGGAAGCGAAGGACAAGGAAGCACGGGGTGTTGAAGAAACAGACTCAACACTTTGGGGGGTACATGGGTGCACATGTTGCGGACAGATGAGATGGCAGAAGTATGCCAATTCATGTGTTGGTTGATTGCTAATCTCCCTCGAACAATCATGAAATGTGCACCATGATCCTTCTTGCAACACCATTCTCCTCTTATGGGATTTTCCACTTCCATGTTTGTTGGGAGGCAGTGCCGGGGGTAATATGTGTGTTTTTGGTGTTGGCCCTACTATACCCTAAGAACGATTTGGGTGTGTCATGATTTGGATTTGAACGCCCAGGTGATTTCGACCCCTCTCGCGGCGGGGTGGAGTGAGGAAGAGAAACCCTGACCGGACGTGCAGATTCAATGGGACTGCCATTTGTGCCTCATTGGGGTGGTTTTGGGGGGTCAACGCAGCCATACATGGCATACATGGAGTGTTTGGGCATGGCAAACCCGCCCTCTCAGCACGACTCGGTTTGGCGCTTACCAGAGTTGTACGGTCGCCCCCGGGTCTAAGGATCTGTGGATCCCCGATAGTTGGATCCACTCCCGCTTGGCTGGCCCACCGTTTGAAGGGTTTGAATCCCAAAGAACCACAAGTTTGAATGGTTGTTGAAGGATTTTTGGATGGTTTGAATGGTTTGAATCCCAAAGCCTACGAAGCCCAGGGAGATTGAAATGGTTTGAATGGTTTGATGTCCCACCTGTTCGATTTTGTCGGATTTGACAACACCGGTACCGGTCGGGCCCCATTCCGGATCACACTCTGACTAACATGGACATGGAAAACCACCTGTTTGTAGAGCAACAGTAAATGCATGTAAATGCAATTAAATGCTCTTTTATAGGGGGCAATTTTTTCCACTTCCATGTGATGTGTTCGTCAGAGTGTACATTAAAGACACTGGCTGTGACCAGTATGAAGGCTGGGAGCTTTCATGGCTGTGAGTGGGGGGCAACAGAACTGCCATAAGGCATGCCTTGGTCGAGTTCGCTTGCTCTCACCTTATTTCCATCGGTGCCGGCATCCCTTTGCCGTGCAACACTTGTGCTTTGACCATCTCCATGCGCCCAGAGCGTAATTTTGTGCGAAGCGAGGTGCTCACATTATGTTTCTGGGCTTTCCTTTGGTCTTTGCTGCTTGGACATACTCTTCTTTGCCGGTGGGAATTCTGCTTTCAGCCATATTCAGCCCGAAGTGATCCGAAGCTTTCTTGAGGGTTTGTTGGTCCCTGGACCCGACTTCAAATACCCTAGAACATGGGACATGACATCACCCTATATTCTCGAAATACTTGGAGGGTCCAGGTCTACGCTTTCTGGTGCCCAGAAACCCACTGGGGGCAGTGCTTAGATCGTGCTTCAAGTAGAGAACACTCAACCTTGAACGGTACAGTCCGCAGCGCTGGAGCTCAAAGTTGGAATACTACTAGTACTAGTATGGAATACTGCAATACTGCAAGCAGGGCAATACTTGCACTGTTGAGCAGTTGTGGTTGACTTGGGGGTGTCCCACTATACTTGTAACTTGATGTAACTTGTAACCGTCGCTAAAAGATTAATCACTATATAGTTTATGAGATGTCGGCCTGCAACCCGGCTCCATCATCGTTCTCGTTTTGGGATATATGACATACCTGAGAAGGTGAGCAGGGAGACACTGAGACATGTAGGCGCCATTGTCAGGTCCAGTAGGATACCGAACCTGACTTCGGTACGAAAACGCATCCCTATAGAGACTGGGGCCCAGGGTGTTTGGGATATACCCAATGCAAGGTGCGATTTGACCCAATTGTGGTGACAGCTTCAGGGCTTTCATCCTCTCTCACTGTTGAGAAGGGTTTGAAGTACAGCCAGACGCTCCACGTATGGACCATTTACAGTACATTGGGGTGGTTTCAAGAGTCAATGGGGCGGCATATACTCCATACATGGAGCGTTTGGGACATAAAACCCCCACGAGGACACTCACCTCATGACACCTTTGCGATTGGCTCGGCAGGGTGTTGGGCATCGGCGCTCGGAACAGCGCGATATGGCGAGGGGGGGGCGGACGTGGGACCGAGCCGAGGCCGTTCTGATGTCCATCATGCGGCGCTTGATGCATGTGGCCATCCTTGGCAAGTGCCACTCGAGCGAGGAAAAAGCGGTACGACGTGGGTCCAACAGAGGTTTAACTGGTCGGTCTTTTGTTCGATCCATTTTGGGATCCACATATCGCAGGTTCGGTACGACTGGACCCTCCAAGGTTTCTTTTTATAAGTGTCGAACATATCACCCTCATCCATATACCACCCTAAGAATCCGAACTTTCAGGGTCCGGATCCCTGCCATGGAGTCTTAAGTGAATTGGCGGTGAATCGTGGTGTCCGTTCACCCAACTTCACCCCGTTTCTTCTTGGTGTTCAGGACTCCGACCGCCGAACACCTGCATATGTGGCAGTGCGACGGAGTGTTTTGGTTCTTTGGGCCTTGATTGGATGTGGGGGCCTTGCTGCGGGCAATGCAGCGGTTCCGGGACCCTGACTCCCCCCCAAACCCTGAAGAGTGGAGGGTTCCTGGGTTCTGGCCTGGAGTCTAAGTGGACTGGGTAAGCCAGAAATCTGCCTCCAACTGTCCAGAATTATACCGAACTTCATCTATGAAGCCAGACAAGTTTAGCAGAATTTGACATGTTGCACAGTTGAATTATCTAGGTAAAATCCCATTATAAACTGAAGTGTTCGGGTCTAGTTCCTGGTGTGCCAGCACTGGAGATCAACAAACTTCACTCCACAACATTTGGGTAGAGGCAAAAAAGTAACTTCGCGATGGAACAAAGAACGTGGATGGAACATCAGTGGTTGGACAACATCTGTAGATTGACTCCTTGCGGGCTGTGCAGTGTGAGTGGTTGGTGGTCATTGATGGAGACAGAAATAGAAGTGCCAGGGCTTGACAAGAAGACACAGCAGACCTGGATCGTGGGAAACTAACATGGATTTTCTGTTGTCTCCCATGCATGGACTCGTTACATACTGTGAGGCACAAGGACCTTCATCTTCGCGATCGCCAATTGCCTTCTTCACTGGGCGCCTTGGGGCTTTTCTTTCTTCGCGCCCGTTCGTTGCTCCGATGTGTTCCACACGGTGAAACACCGTCCGGACGAAGGGGCAGACGGTCCTCTTGTCCGGTCCCAAGGAGTGGGATTGAGTCCCAAGGAGTGGGATTGAATGAACATGAATGAACTCATTTCTGGATGTTTGTTCATCCTGGAGGTGTCGGTCCTGGAGTTTCATCTTGACGAATTGCGGCGTGTGCAGACATACAAGCCGCTTGTTCATGGTAGTGGTGTTTATATAATATGTTTGGAAGGCTAGAGTGGGTTTTCTGCTGTAGTTGGAAATGTTTGGATCTCCCAGCACGCTGGATTTGACTTGATGACTCGTGGCTAATGTGTAAACTCAGGGTGTCCTCAGCAACCCGAGTTGTCCTTGCTGTAGCGAACATCTTGCACTTTGGACAGGTGATGTTTGGGGTTTAAGGAAAGGCCAGCTAATCAATAGGGGTCCCTCCCCGATCTCGGTATCAAATCCTTCTTCTTCCCTGAGTTTCGCCGGGAAGAATGAAGAGAAAGGACATGAAGATGGTCGCCTAAAGTGCTGGGACAAAACACCACCCCCCAAATCAGAACAAAACACGCAAAGGCTTGAACCCAAAAATTACTTCAGTCATATCGCAAGCAACTCATGTTTCTTGATTGTGAACGACTGTTTACCGTACAATCCACTGATTCAATCGACTCCAATTTCCCAAAATGCATGCCTTTGGAGGTCAAGCATCCCAGAGTCCCAGAATTCAGAGGCCCCCAGACCGAGGGAGCACCATGTGTGTTCTTTGCTTCCCTTCCTCCTTTTGAGTGAAGAACACATGTACCAGCACCCGACCACAGGTCTCCGAAATGGATGCATTTGCAGACTTCAACGCGGCAGGGGGTGACCTGTTGGTATAACCTTTCTGCATTTACTGAGGCGGCCATTGAAAGCAATCGTGTCATCAACCGAGCATTTTCCTCCTGGCTGAACCTCTTCCTGTGCCACTCGATCAGATAGAACGATGGATTCAAGTTCAGTGCTGATTTTTGAGGTCTATCTTGGGCCAAACTCACTTGGACCCAAAACCTTTGCTGGACCTTGAAGGGGAATCAGATTGTGAAAAATCTGTTTCTGGTCGGTGACCGGCGGAAGTGGTGCTCAGAAATGCTCAAAACCTAGCTCAGAACATGTCAGACAGAAAACCAGGATCCTCCAGATTCCTCCAGCATGCAGGTGGGTTTTCCGAGGGCGTGTGTTCTTGGCACACCAAGACTTCCGAGACTGGTCTGTGAATTGCATTTCTGGGTGGGGCGTATTCCGAAGAGAGTCACACGTACTACCGTACTACCGATCCCTATGGATCCGCAGAGAGTGATCCACGCTGAAAGAGCGGTGGTTTTTAGAGGCACCGCCTCAGATATAGGCACCAGGAGAGTCGCCCTTCTAAGGAGGTATTTGGCGTTCTGAATTCTTGTGGATCCACCTCTGCGAAACAGTTGGACCGGAGCCTAAAAACAGTAAGTATGGGAGCTGGCTAGCCCCAAGATGTCGAGACGACAGATGACTGGGGTTCATATCATCGAGCTTGGGGGCAGAAAAAGGCACCATCGAAGCTCTGACACGACCAGCACCACCTGCCAGGTCTAAATCAGTTGGGAAAGGGCCCTAAGAGGTGGACTCATTGGTGACCACCTCTTAGGGCCCTACTATAAGAAACCACTATAAGTCGACCCCCGGACCAGGGGCTTCGTTCTTGATAGCCCCTTATAGATGTGATATAAGGGGTGTCCATTCACCGCCCCATGTCCAGGTCCTGTTTTTCTGTCTATATGAACTGAAAGGCTCCGAATGGACTTAACCTTTTGGGATCCACCCAGCCCGGCCCGATGGGTTGTGGAAACTTCCAGGGGGTCACCACGCGGGTTTCAAGACGATTCTTATAGCGTTCGTGTGGCTCCACATCGTTCGTTGGACTTGGACACTTGTAAGTGATGAGTCAACGCCGGAAATGTCCAATTACAAGAATTTGGTAAGTGTCATGAGTGTCATGGCAAGAGTGCATGCCCTAAATGGAACCAATCAGTCCATTTGTCCGGTATACTTTGAGGATAGTTTGGAGGATCCATTCTTCAACACAGGCGGAGTTTATCTCAGATTTTGTTGACACTTTGTGCGTTCTTGCCTTTAAGCTTCCCTCTGGCAAAGACATCCGGCCCTGGCGGTCCAAAATCGTTGTGCTGTCTTTGTATGTCACGACTGGCGTTGTTGGAAAGATGTCTCAAGGAAAGAGCAACCCAAATACCCAGAGGATCCCACTGGTATGGTTGCCTAAAGATTGTTTGGAAGAAGTTTACACAAGATTTGGAAGATTTTGGAACGGTATGCAGGGGTTTCACAACGCCTCTGTCTCGGCTCCAGGTTCTTTGTTTTTGCTGGCGCAGAGCGTGACCGTCTTCTATTTCTTTCAAGATGGTGGCACCAAACAGCAGACAGACGCTCGACTGTGGTCTTTTCGTGGTCCTTGCCTTTTTGGCCGGCAAGTGGAATGGAGGTCCGAGGACTCCTGGCCCACCATTGATAATAGCCTGAATCCAGAACACCATTGATTTATTGGGTTTTCACCGCACAACCAGCTGTTTTACTAAGGATGTTACACTACACCACCGGGTCAACCGAAATCTTTTAGTCTTGGAACTTGGAGAATGGGGAGAAATCACTCCACATAGGAGGCCAATGCATTCGGCAAATGCATTTGGACACTCGGACACTCTTCGTGGTTCGACCTGTGGACACTCGGACTCGACCTTTGGTGATCTGGAGTGGTTTCAACCAAGCCCAGATACGACCTGTCTGGGACTGCCATATATGCCTACGTACATTGGGGTGGTGGTTTGGGGGGTTCAATGGGGTGGCATATATTATGCCAGTCCCATTGGTCGTGTCTGGGAAGTAGATGTGTCTCCAATCAGATCTCTCAGAGATATTGGTTTGGGGGATCCATGGGCCAATGGGCCTGGTTCGTCCAAGTCGACCGAACAAGTTCTCTCCGGAGGTCACTTGATATCGGGCACCCTAAGATCCGAGCCTTATTTGCCACTGGAAGAGACGTGAAGGTAGCATCCATCGGCCAAGCCAGGTCCATGCCAAGCCCGGTTCGCCATGCCAAGCCCGGTTCGTCGGTCCCGGAATCGTTGGATTGAAGAAGCACACCCATCGGTTCCTGTTTCAGACATCTACTAGGAACAAGAAGCTATGAACGTAACCTCCTGGCATCGCGACTAGGAACCCGGGCATCGCAAGCGAACGGAGCACATGGCTACGTTCGTAGCGTCCTTGCTCATAGTAGTAAGGCCAGGAGCCCCTACCTATCGGTAGTGGATCTAAGGTGCCCAAGGTGCCAGGACCCCCGGAGTGTCACATCCACTCACCGATGGGGCGCCCGAAACCACTGCCATGCTGGATCCTGCTGGTGTGGATTCCTTGAAAGTCTAGGACGATGTTTAGACGTTTCAACGTTGCTTGATCTGGTTTTGTGGTAGAGCGGATTTGTAAAATCCTATCGGTAAAGCAATTTGGTGGTTCGATCAAGACTCTTAAATCGTTTTAAATCATATGGTGGGCCATGCCGGAAGCCTGGAAGCATATACAAAACATATGAGAGATGTATGATGTATGCATGTGTCCCTTTCAGCTTCGTTTTTTTCCCGCTCCGAGAAACCGCCTCCTCCCCCGTGAAACAGCGCGCCTACGCCTTCGCTCCGAGGTGAAGGTGGCCCGGCGCGTGCAGAGCGCCCTGCGGGGACCGAAGCACCTGGAAATGACGGAGATCGAAGCACCCGGCGCCGCTTGGAGGTCGATCCGAGCTTGGGATGACAAGGAGGGTCCAATCACCTGATCTCACAAAGTATGACAAGGTAATGTCGACGTCGTATTAATCAACGGGCCCCCCCCCCCCGTAGAAGGTCAACAAGGTCAACAAGGTCTGAGACTGGAGGTTTTGGAGATCACATCCCCCTAATAGTGGAGATGACCTGATGATGAAAGGTAATTGGTATTCGGAAGAATTGGAATGAAAGGGAATTAGTATTTGGAAGAATTGGTGGATCAGAATGCAACCTCTCAAGAGATGGCATGGGAAAAGAGAAGATCAGTTTCACCATGGACCAAAAGATATTGAAAAGGCAAAAAGATATTACTGGGAGCTCCATGATCGATCCGAGCTTGGGATGACAAGGAGGGTCCGATCATGAGTCACTAAGCAGCCCCTACAATGGAGCTCCCAGTCAACACTGAAGAGACGATGCTGCCAAGACACACAGGTGAGTATGCAGTATCACCTGATCTCACAAAGTATGACAAGGTACTGGGAAGAGGAGGCGACAAAGGCGAGGGCGGGAGGCTCTCTCAAGCTCTCAGCTACCGGTGGGGGAGTAGAAAGGAAGGTGTTTTGGGAGTTGACCTTGGAACATGGGCAACGGTCGACCGTATCTTGGATGTGTGATCCGGAACCAAGAACTGTGGATTTTCACCTATAGCAATACGTGCCGATTCGGAGGGAGCGCTGTTGGGAGCGATTCGAGGGGCACCGGGACCCCACCAAAGTATCCTATAGGTCCTATAGAAAATGGGACATGACCCGAACCAAAGAAAACACATCTCCCAGACACTCCATGGGACTGCCATATATGCCTCCATTGGGGTGGTTTTTGGGGGGTCAATGGGGTGGCATATATGCCAGTCCCATGGAGTGTTTGGGTCTGATACTTGTACTTGCACCCCAAACATCCGAGGTATACCACACCGGTCGTTCAGTCGTTCGGTCATTTTCTGTGGATGGTCGTTCAGACCCATCCACTGACCTAGGCGGTCGTCGCGGTGGAGAACAAGTCCGGCAGCTGGTGCAATGGGTCTGACTGCTCGGGCCGCGACCTTCCCCTAAAGGGTGGGGGCCGTGACCGATCTTCAACCCACTGAAGTGGCCAAAGATGGCCGAAGATGGCCGAGGTCGGCTCCAAAGTGAGCGACACAGGTGGGTTCTTGAAAGGTAGCTACCACTGGGGGTCATTGACTATAGGGTTTGATTTTGGCATTCCCGCCAATGGATTCAATATTTGCTTCCACCGGGTGCCCTCTGTGGATATTATCCATAAGCAAAACGATGTTCCCTTGATGTCTTGTGAGTTGTCCAAAGAATGCTGCAAATAATGATGCTTGACGATGTTTGTTTTGCTTTGTTCCTTTGAACATTTCTTGAACAGCTTAGTTGTGATTTGCCATGTTGGTTGTGTGCCACTAACCTCATTGATGGCCACGCAAAGCGTGGGCCATGTACCATAGGAGTTGGGAGGGGTGCATAGCGGACAGAGTGAAGACGAGGAATAACACTGAAGCCGGACCTACCCGACTGTTTGTAGGTCACGTGCTTGTTTTCCGAGGTCTTGTTGTGCAAGGTCCCTAAAATCCCTTGTTCCCGGCTCCATCCTTTTCAGCACCCCTTCCTTTGCTTCAACCTGCCCAGCATATGTCTTTTTTCCACCAAACCAAGTGCGGTGGAGAAAAACACAGAGGTGCATGCCTGGCCAGTGCGAGCTTTGCCGCACGGTTCGTCGTGTGCGGGGCGAGTTGTGGGCATGAGGTGCTGGGTCTGGAAAATGGTGATTTCGTAGTGGATCTCTTTCACCGACTTAGGAGGACAAGTGGATAACCCTTCAACCGTTTTTTGGGAAAAAAAAAGTTTTGTGTCCACCCCACTCAACAAGAAAAGGTGACGTAGCTTCGCTTTCAGCTCTAAACACTCGGATTCTCCCAGCTCAGGGAGTCGGTTTTCGTTTCGCCTGCCGCGGGACCGGGGTGAAACGAAGCAACGAACCAATCCGAACGGGCTCTCCATGGCAGGGCTCGGACCCGACACCGAAACGGGGTCCGGGCCCAAACCAAACCCTATTTGCTTCGGGTCCGGGATTCTTAGGGGGTTTTGAGATAGGTGGCGCCGTACGTTGGTACGTGGGACCGGAACCCCGTGATAAGACTATACCCGCGAGATGCTGGACTCTGACAGAGAGGGATCGGACCCGACAGAATCCCAGTTTTGAGGGGCCAAGGGTTGTGAACGGAGGAGCGTCTGGGATCTGAGCGTGTGGGATGGGGTCGCGCACGCGTGGAATGGACGATCTCCGAATGAAGGGACTCGGCATTGCAGAGTCGCACTTAGCCAACAAAGTCAAGCACCCTTTGAAATGTGAGCGTGTATAATTACTGGGCCAGCTTCTTCAGTTCGTGACCTTTTTGGAGTCTCCAAGTCTACAGGCCTGTGACAGTGACCGAACCAACCAGGGATCAAGTTCAGTCACTTGGAAGAACCAGGAATATAGTGCTTTCAAGAAAGCTTTGGAAACGCTCGCACAGATCCAACACAGTACTTGTGCTGACACGACTGACACGAGTGACACGACCTGTTTGGGACTTTCTATATCTATTTATGGTGCGGTTGAAAAGAAGTCAATGTATATATAACATACCTGGATCTTCCAAGGGTGCAAAGTTTCTCTTTGTTCCTGTTCCACCTGTCATACTGCACGAAGTTGGTAGAGAGTTATTGGCATTGTGGTCAAATTGACACACAGAAAAAAACAGCCAAGTTCGGCAGGGATTTTGCACAGTTAGAAGGTTGAGGTATATACCAGCACCGCCCAAGGGAGGTGTCTAGACCCCCTACCATGTATACTCGTCCAATCGAGGGTCCAAAGGCTTTGCACACCAAGCAATTCCGTTCGCCGACACCGTTCGGAACGATGTTCTAAAACGGTTGACCTGGTCTAAAATCCATAAAAGAACTGGTCCAGCACCCTCCAACGCTACATAAATATTTGCCTCCCCATGCATT